CCAACCTAAAACTCTTAACATTTTTGAAAATTTAGAGAACTTCTCACACCACTTAAACTTTATCCGCTTTTGTAGTTATACTAAGATTTACATTTAAATTTATGCCTTTCCTGCGCTCTGAAAAAAACTAAAGTTTCATTTGGCTTAACCTCTAATTTTGGCCAGCTATCTCTAGGGTCTTTGAGCCAAACAGGCCCTCTCCACCAATTTAATTCGAAAAAACTGAAGAGGGGAACAACCACGAGAAGGTAAATCAGCTGGGTTAGAATGACCCTGTACATATGACCACTGATTTGCTTTAGTGAAAGCGCAAATTTCCTTCACGCGATTGCCCACAAAAGTCCCCCACGCATCATTTCTTTGAATCCAAGATATGGCCGTGGTGGAATCGGTCCAAAAATATTTCGGGATGTCATCCAATGTAAGAGCTTCTGTCACATATTTGGAAAGACGCACGCCCAAAAGACAGGCCATAAGTTCTAGACGGGGAATAGTAAGTTCTTTTAAGGGTGCGACTCTTGACTTAGCCATTACAAAACTGACTAATGTTTCTTCTTTAGTTTCGCATCTCAAAAATATTACCGTGGCATAAGCATGCTGGCTAGCATCACAAAATACATGAAGTGTCCAGGAACTTCTATCTCCAAAACCTATACGTCGCGGTATTCTCAACTTATTCAAAATTTGTAATTTATTATACCACCTCGAAAATTTACTTTTGATACTATCTGGTAATGGAGTATCCCAGTCTGCTTTTATCGCCCAAATTTCCTGTAGCAGTAACTTTGCAGGCAATAAAACAGGTGTCAAGAAACCCAAAGGATCAAACATTGTCTGCGTTACTGACAAAAACCTCTCTTTTAGACAAATTATCCGAAACCAATACAGTCTTAATTTCAATATAAAGGTTATCTTCTATTCTGTCCCACATAATTCCTAAAACTGGTACAGAATTCTCCATTGTGGACTCAGTGCACAAAGTACTTTGGGTTAGTTCCACATCTTTTTCTACTGGGCCATAGGTCCACATACGTAAGTCCATTTTTGCTTCAGCTAATATTTCAGTAGAAGATTTCACAAAATTCACAAGCTCCTTTTCGTTATCAACAGAAGTCACACAATTATCAATATAAAAGGATTTATTTAATTTCTGAGCAATAGAACTTTGTTCCTTTGGTACTTGTGCCAAATGAACTGAAATAACCGCTCCTAATAGAAAAGGGCTAGACTTTACTCCAAAAACTACCCTCGTATGGCGGAAAACCTTCAGTACATTATCTTTCTCCCACCATAAAAATCTTAAAAAGTCCCTATCTTCTTTCCGTAATTCAATCTGTAAAAATGCACGCCGGATATCAGAGGTTACGCCAATGCATTTTTCTCTAAATCTTAACAAAATTGAAGGGATTTCTTCTATTAAATTTGGTCCTTTTACTAAGTAATCATTAAGGGAGGGCGATCTATTAACTTTACATGATGCGTCAAAAACAGGTCTTATCTTAGTTGAGACACTGTCTGGTTTAAATACTGGGTGATGCGGTAAGTAGTGCCCTTTATAATTCAGTTCATTGTCTGGTACTATTTCAATTACACCCTCCTCCATCCATTCATTAAAAATTCTATCATATTCTTCATATTTATGTAAAGACTTGAGTTTTCGGGTGACACTGAACAATCTTTTTTCTGCTACATGACGATTTGATGGCAATTCTGCGTTATATACTAACCAAGGTAATCCGACACAATAACGACCATCTTCGTTTCTGGAAAGAGAGTTTAAAAATTGTTCGTGGGCAATTTCTTCCTCAGCAGCGTTAGTTGAATTCTGGTGAGCATCTAATATTCCGATCGTTTCTAAACTCCAAAGATCGGAGATTTTAAAGTCGTGACCCACTAAACTTGCACACAAAATGGAAGCATCTTTATCTTTGTGATTAACAAATTCCTCCGATACACCACAAACTGTCCAACCAAGTTTTGTACAAACTGCTGTTAGTCCTCCTTTTAATTGTTTTACTGATCCCGTGAGAATTTTTCCATAAATATCACTACCGATGAGCATTTCTATTTTTGGACAATCTGCTCCCAGATCCGACAACCAAATGTTGTTTCGTTTTAATTCTTTTAATATTGGACCCTTGGGTACCCGAGGTATATCCCCACATATTATGTCTTGATCTAAAAATTCAAATTCTAGATCTGAATACTTACGCGGACTGGCTGAACATAATTTTACCAAATATTTGTTATGCATCTTTGCCTCTGTTCTGGCACCTCCAAATAAAGTAAGAGCAACATTTTCTTTGGAAATAATTGGTAACCCCAATTCAGTGGCTAATGATTTCAAAATATATACGATTTCTGGGAACCACAATCTAAGAGTACTCTAACATCTTTATGCTTTTTGACACCAGCTACTCTTACGCGTAAAGTCATTAAAGCTACGTCAGCGGTACAAGTTTGCCTGGCTGTAGCCGTATGTATGTTGTCTATTTCTGATTTTTCTGTAGGAAGTTCAGTTTCATTATTAATGTCCGGACACAAAATAACTGAGTGTGATTTACCACAAGCAAAACACCTAACAAACTGTTTACAGAACTTTGCCATATGATTTGGTTCCAAGCATTTTAAACAGCATTTTTTCTCCTTAACTTTAGAAATCCTTTCATTAAGAGATAATGAACGCGCATCGTAACAATTTTTACTATCATGCATTTTACCACCACAAAAAATACATGCATGTTCTCTGGTTGTAAGAAAACCTGTGGCAGTGGGAACATTTCCCTGTTTCTTAAATTTAAATTTACCTTTTGTTTCCCTCTTTGCTTTATCATGATATCCTTCTTTACGACTAACACCATCGAGTCCATTACGCGCCAATTTTAATCTCTCCTCACCCTCCACTTCAGACTTTAAAAATTTCATTAAGTTGGTAAGGCGAGAAAGATCAGTTCCTTCAGGCTGGTTAAAGAGCGAACTCCTTTGCCACGCCTTTAAAAAAACATCCTCTGTGAGACACGATTCCACCATCGGAAATAACCACGATGTGTTTTTCGCTCGATTTAAGACCTAAAGACTCTAAGGCTCTCAACTGAGCTTCAATTTTATCATACAGTTTATCAAGAGGTAATTTATCCTTTTGATCTGCCTTCACATTAGAAACAATTAATTTAATTAGTTCCCTAACATACACTTCTACTAATAATTCAGGTTTCCCAAAACGTTCCTTCAAAGCTAAAACAGCTTTATCATAATTTTCCGAAGTCACCGGATAGCTTTCAATGAATTCTTTAGCACGTGATCCGGGCTTCATACACTGAATCAAATAGGAAAATTTGTCACTTTCATATAAATCAGGGTCAGTGTGAATTTTCTCAAACTGCGACCAAAACGGTAACCAATTTATCAATTCCCCATCAAACTTCTTAAGTTCGATTTTCGGAAGTCTATACTGTTTAATCTTACTACAACAAATACCAGCACCATCATTTGGTCTTGTTTCTAAATTGATTTCATCTGAAAATTGCAATTTTTCATTAATTTGCCGAGTTAGTGTTATGAAATCATCAGAATACACCTCGCGACTTTCGATTTCTTTAGTAACATCATCCTCTAAAGTTTTCCCGTCTTCAGCTAACAAATCAAGAATTTTATCATCTACATTTTTTATATCTGAATATACATTTTGTAGTTTAGTAAGTTTATCTCGTACTAAATCTACAGAAAAATCTTCTTTTACTAATTCCGTTTTTAAAATATTAGCAGTTTTTGCAAAAGAAGTGCGTAAACCTGCCCGTTTAAGTTTCAGAGCCTTTAAAGCTTCCATAGTTAACTTTCAAAATAAAACAAACTGCTTTACAAAAAATAGTTTCGAATTTAAACTTAATTATACTTTAATACATCAAAAACTATCTATAACCATTAAAATATTTTTTTTTAAAGTTTATTTCTTAAGAGTCCTGTCACGGGACGCCACTTTTTGTTATTACTAAAACATAGTCTTATCATTAAATATCATTAAAATAAAAATACTTCCTTCACTCATCCCAGATACCGAGCAATCAATCCAGAAAAACTAAAGACAAAACTTGCTCACTTACCTGGGTAGTGTGATGTTGAATCTGTAATAAAAACTCTAATATGTTGATTTATCTAATTATATTCTTTCTATACTACAAAATATATACATTTTTTAACAATTGTCGGGAAATTTTTCTGGCCCCGAAAGTTATTACACACTTCATCAGTTCACGTCACGAGATCGAAAGGGGAAAACCTTTTTTTTCTTCCTACTTCAATGACAGCCAACGCCATCTGTGTCTCGTACATCAAAATGAAGAGATTTGTTTTTAATATTTGTTAGATACAGCTAATCAGTTTCACAACACTTATCTATATTCTATTCAATAATTCTGAGGGATTTCTAGCATCATTATTAATAATAATATAAAACCATTGATATTTAACTAATATGACAAACTTTTTAATGTAGCCTAAATTGGATATTATGTGTTTTAGTGTAAGTTGTTGCAATTATAGGAATAATTTATATTGATACTATGTATTTTGCTGGAAATTTCTCACTGTCAAAAATTTAATGTGCATTGAAATGTAGAAGGTTAGAAGGTTAACAAATTGCTTCTCAATGATAATTATCACCATTTAAAACTAAGCAATCCATGTCTTTCTGTTAATGCTTTTATCAAAATATATGCCTAATGATTATAGAAAAATGCAGACATATATTGTCAGTGTAATTGCATTACACACTGATAAATTTAATAATGCATTGTGAAACTTTTGATGATGATCACTTCTGAAAGTTGGCTTTTATAAAGATAACAACTTCTAAAAGTAACTAATATTCCAAGAATATAAATAAATAATGATATTAAACATCACTGATAGTTACATTTTCTAAAGAAACTGCTTCCAAAAAAAGATCAAAGTCATCTTAATTTATTAAATAAACTGAAAAACAATTATTTAATTTTTAACAGTTCAATGCAATGCTCAAGCATGTCAGAATGGAGGAGTATGCTTAGTGCAACTGCATGAACCAAAATGTTACTGCCCTGCTGGATTTACTGGACAATTCTGTGAAATTGACATAGATGAATGTGCCAGCAGACCGTGCTATAATGGTGGAACTTGCATTGACCTTCCTCAAGGTTATAGGTGTCTCTGCCCGATAGGTAAGCAACTACTCATTTTGTATTTTTAATTAACATTATCTAATACTGCAGAAAAAGTTATTATTGTTGGACTACTAAAATATAAAAAATACTTTTAATTATTATAAGAAAATGTACGTTATTTGCATGTGCCATTGTAAATACTTACAGTAAAAGATTTACAAAGAAATATATCTTTTAAATAAAAATAAAATTGATGTTATATTTACTTGAATTTTCAATACTTACGTACCATGTTTTGCACTGAAAACAGATTATGTCAAGTTCCACTCCTACACAGAAGGAGATTATGCTTTACAGTCAAAAATCATATTTTAATCAACCAAGATACTGACTGACCATTTGGAAAGTTAATATTATATTACAAGGATAAAATTTCACATAATGATAAGAATGAATCTATGTAAAAATGGGAGATACAACAAAATGTATGAAAAATATTTTTTGACTTCGTCAGGAAATTTATCAGACTTTTTCATTTAAGGAGAAAAATGATCTTTGCAACCATTGTTCTAAAAGCCTCATAATTTTCTACAACTTTCTGAAATACCATTTGTAATCTTTTCTTCACTTCTGGCAGTTATAAAATTTTGTAGGTCTGATCACTAGCAGCTTATCTACAACTCACTTCTGTTACAAACTGACTACAAAGTTGTTTGTATAGTTTTTAATGCATAATTTAAGTACAAACCAGTTTTCCTCAGAAAGCTATTTGTGAAAGTATATGGGAGTTATTTTTTCTCCCTAGAGGATATTTCCTGGATGTTTTATTATGACAAATTTACCAAACATGATATTCAGATTGTTTATAAATATTAGTATATTAGTAATATTAAAATTATATTAGTTTATATTACCTAAACTGGCTTTCTCGAGCAAACTAAATGACATAATATCTCCAGTAGTCAGAATAAGCAGATGCATATGAAATCTTTCATTATATTTCATTAACATTTTTCTTTGAAATATGGATGGAAGATATAACATTTGAATTGTTTTCCATTCTGGGACAATACTTTTTTCTTTTTTGAATAATTAGATGAAAAATGTTTTACTTATTGTGATAAATTTCTCATATTTCTTTAAGAAATGTGAAGTAGTTAAGATGAACTATTACAGTTAGATTTAAAGATTATGCAAAAGATATAAAATAACAGTATCAAATCAAATTTTAATAAGGCTTGTAATGAAAGAAAATGTATTCTCTTAATCTGAAATTATGCATATTAACCATATTTTTTAGTGTTATACAGTGAGAGATATAATAAAAAATGAATGAATAAAATGATAAAACTTAAATAAATGTCATATAACTGTCTTGCACAAACAAATAACATGAATGTTTCAGTTATTATAAAAATAATTCCTTAGCTAATAAGAAATGTACTATTCACCTCCTGGTATCACTTAACCTTTCGCACCTACTGTCACGCAGATGCGCCAGAATGACATGTGCTTCTTTCCCAGTTGGCACACCAATGTGATAGAGCATATTCTAATTCACCCCCACCCATAACACATTTGTGTCAGAGTTTTGGAATGTTTTAGAGACTAGTATTTTTTATGCAAGATGCCTGTAAAATTTGAGATGCATATAGAATTGACCATCTACATACATCTTCTATTCGAAATGAGACAAAGATCACTCTCATGCCCTTGAACTTTGATTATATAAATGTAAGGCAAAAAGCTTAACCTAGACCCACGATGTTTATTGATAAATATTATGGAAGTTTTTTATTTATTTATTTATCATTTTTTTATTATTATTTTATTGATAGAGTATTAGGTGTTTGGATTTGCAGTCTAATTTCTAATCGAGAATTATATCTTTGCATATGACATGTTTCTGTTTAGAGCATTAAAGTGTTGAAGCTTCAAACATCTTTATTTCATCAAACATCTTCAAACATCTGGTTATATCTGTAACTTTATTGTTTACATGGCAAAAGTAACAGAGTTAAAAAAGAAACTTCAGGATTATATAGGGAAAGAGTTGTTGAATATTTCTACTTGGAGAACTTTCTGGTCAAGGGTAACATTTATAAAATGATAGTTTTTTCATGTCTGCATCATTGGCAGATGAACCCTTTAGATCTGGAACAAATACTTGTGGGTTTGTAATGAAGAGAAGAAAGGGAATAATTGAAAATTTTCTGCTAGCTAAAATGAAAATTGGTGAGATGTTGCTTTTACAGAAAAGGGAGGGAAGAAACTAAATTTAACTGCTTTTAAAGACAGATGAAAAATACTTTGTTCCAAATGAAAGTGCAATGGCGTTGGTCTGTTTGTTTGCACTCATGCAAAAATCTTCCAAAAAGGCAAATGAGCTAGTATGAATATAAGGATTGTAACATAGGATTGTGTGCAGATCCCCGCTTTAAAATTTATCGCACTAAAAATTAATTTTAAATAAAATGTTTGTTGACAATTGTATAATGTCACAAGCCGCTAACAGAGAAGTAAACACTGGAAAAAAAAAAAAAAAAAAAAAAAAATTAATGTACAAAATAACAATATGTAAACAGAAAAACTTAAATATATAAAATATGTAAATAAAAAAATATAATATATACTTTTCAGAACAGAACATTAATCTTGAAACAGTACATTAATCTTTCTGTAATTTCATCGGTTAGTAGCCCAAAACCCTCTGTCTGCGGAGAAATGCTCATGAAACAAACAGCCAGCCCCAATGTACATGTGCATTTGTGCCTTTTGCCCCAAAAGGGAGAATTTAAACCCAAAGGGAAAAACAAAATCACTAAAATTGAATGATTATGTATTTATAGGTTACAGTGGCCTGCAGTGCCAAATGGAGCAGTCAGAATGCCGCAATGGCTCTTGCCCAGAAAGAGCCATGTGTCAAGATTTACCTGGTTTAGGAACAATTAATTGTTTGTGCCGTTCTGGTTATGAAGGACCTGCATGCAACATCACCATCAATCCTTGCACATCTGGTGAAAACCCATGCTTTGGAGGGGCAACTTGTAAGCCGTTACAGCAAGGAAGATATAAGTGCATCTGCCCTCCAGGTCTCACTGGACCAACTTGTGAAATAAACATAGGTACAGTAGTGCAGACATTGGTATTTATAATATGTGTTCAATTGCATTTTTATTTTAGTAGCAATAAATAATGGTAGGGCTTTTCATTTTGTCCATAAAATGGCTCATCTAAAGAACTATTTTGATTTTTAATCCAGTTTTTGTTTAAAACTGTGAAGTATTCACAAACATAAGAAATTATTCTTTCTTTTTATGTTTTAAAATTTAAATCCAAACTTATGAGGCATTAATTACTTAAGGTTTTTTTTAATTTAATGTTGTTTTCAAAATTTGATTGACTATAATTTAATTGTTTATTTTTATGCTTGTATACGTATATATTAGAGGTCTTAGAAACTTCTGAATTAATTTTTATTTAGAGTATTATAAATGTTTAAAGAGTTTTTCTGCGGTAGAAGTTAATAGTTGTGAATTTTTTAATATAGGCATTAATATCGCTTTTGAGTAAAAATATGAATATATAAAATGTGCTAATGTATAATCCTGTGTTAAATCGGTTTCGATATGCAATTATTAAATTTTCTTCTTCCAATATTAATTTTTTTGAATTGAAATGTGTTTAATCTAGCAGAATGGAGAACAAACTAACTTTAAACCTTGAAGAAGTCATTTTTTTAAAATTTAATAATGTAGCATGTGTAATAATTTTTATAAAGTTAACATTTAGTGCAATACACAAATATTTGTCTAAATTTTCTTGGGATAATTGTTTCACAGAAGATGTTATGGAATTTCTTTATAGATGACTGCGCTGAACAACCCTGCCTTCTTGGAGCGAACTGCACCGATCTACTAAATGACTTTTCATGTGACTGTCCTCCAGGATTTGGTGGTAAACGATGCCAAATGAAGTACAATTTGTGTGCCTATGATCCTTGTTTAAATGGAATTTGTGTGGATCACTTATTCTATTATAGTTGTATCTGCCATCCAGGTTGGGCCGGACCATCCTGTGAAATTAATATAGATGAGTGCAGCAGCAATCCATGTTCGAATGGTGGACTTTGTGTTGACCAAATTGATGGCTTTAAGTGCCAATGTGAACCTGGATTTACAGGATCAAGGTGCCAACATCCTATTGATGCTTGTGAAGCTAAGCCGTGCCAGAATGGTGGCACTTGTTTCGATCTTATAAATGGTTTTGCATGCCAATGCAGACCAGGGTATGTTGGACTGCAATGTGAAGCTGAAGTAGATGAGTGCATAAGCAGTCCCTGTAATCCAAGTGGCACTGAGAGGTGCATTGACTTAGATAATTCTTTCCAATGCATGTGTAATCCTGGCTTCACTGGGGAGCTATGTGAGGTGAGTAACTGTTTTTTAACTGAGATTTGACTATTATGAAGTGTTAACACTTTTAAGTATAGAAGAAAAAATGTACTTTCAAGTTAATTTATGTATTACATATGACCTTAATGATGTACATATGTTATGTAAAAAAAAGCAATGCATTTAAAGCATTTTATTGGGGGTGGAATAATACATAATCATCAGGACATTAGTTTAGTTTATTGTAATTTTCCTGAAGCCCTGCAGTGGCTAAGTGGGTAAGATTGCTGAGCACTTGTAGTTCAGATTAGATTAGATTAAATTCCTGTGAATGGATAATCTTCATGGGTGTCTTAATGGTTTCCCCATATATAAAATGGATCTGATCCAATTTTCTGTAATAAGACTCCTTTTTCATTTGGCAGACAGATCTCGTATGCTTTACCAAATTTAGCGTCAGAACAGCAACAACAAATAAACAAAAAAATTCTACCCTGTAATGTAATATTTTTGTATAAAAACAATTTAAATTTACCAATATTTTACTAGATTGTTTCCTTTTCATAATACTGAATTTGATAAAGTAAATTAAACATTTAAACTTCCATATTTTCTTTTTATTGAGGTAAAAATGAAAATACATTTTTATATGTAAATATATTTTTTTAAATCTTCAAATGTGGTATAAAAGTAAATTGTGGAATCATTGATGAAGTAACTAACCTTAAAACATTTATTATGCATGTCTAAAATATTCATTATAAAATACAAGCTACTGTGACTTTGCCTACTTTTTTATTATGTACAATAATATTTTTAGATCTTCAAAAGAATTCCAAGGTGTTATATTTGGTGAATTACCTGTTCTGCTTTTCTTTATGATTCTCAATAATAAATTAAATTTCTGACGTCACTTTTCTAGTTTAATATCAATGAATGCAGTTCAAGCCCTTGTCTTAACAATGGTATTTGTACTGACACTGTGAATGGATTTAGATGCCAGTGTCCTCAGGGATGGACAGGAGAGCGTTGTGAAGTAGATATTGGTGGCTGCAGCAGTGACCCATGTCTAAATAATGCCAAATGTATTGATCTCTTCCAAGACTACTTCTGTGTGTAAGTACACAATTAAAATGCAAGAAAAAAATTTCATAAATATCCATTCTGAAAAAATTTAATGTATTAACTGTTTCAGTTATAATTTAAATTTTTATTGTGGAAAATTTCTCTCTTATATATGTTAAAAAATAATTAATTATGCATATTTGGAAAATTTCAATTATTTTTCATTTAATGTTGTTAAGCGCATAGAAAATATTAAACATAATAATATAACATAAATCATTTGGGGGTGGAGACCAAATTTAGTATCATTATTATAAATTTCTTAAAATGACAAAAACAGTATTGACTGAAATTATAGTTATAACATTCAAAGAAAAAATACTCTGTATATTTTAATGTGTTAAACTACCTGCTTTTATGATATTTTCTTAATGGTACAGGTTTGAAATTACTCTTAATAATTCTGTTTCGAAATTGTATACATAATTAATTTATATGGAAGATTTATAAATTTTTAGTGGAAGTTATGACAACAGGAAAAATCAGATGTGACATTACAAGTTTCTTGTTGATTATTTTTTGGTACCTACATTTAATGTCATCTCTCTCTCTCTCTCTATATATATATATATGTATATGAAATGATATGAATGATTTGGAACTTGGTGGTGGCATAATAGATGCCTAGCGAAGAAACTTGGCAAGACGGAAAGGTTTAGATTCAAGATAATTTTATTATCGAGGAAAGCAATTCTGGATTTGCAATATTTGGTTCACATACATACGGGTGTCTTACGTGTCCTACATTTTTGTTAGCTCAGCACATATTCAGTGAACAAAGAAGGTTGCAGCAAAGCGTTTTGCCAGGAGGAAAGCTTAAGTGAAAGTGTTGTAGCAATTCAGAGGGGCCTGGAGGGAGTCAAAAATTTCAGTTCAAGTTAAAAAAGTTTTGGTTTATAATTAGTGATTGGAGCAAGAGGGGTATCTGCATTAACCCTTTCAGGGCGGACGTCCCATATACGCATTCTGTAAGAACGTCTTTTACAGCCGGGCATCCCGTCCACATATCACTAGAGATTGCATTCAGAGGACGGGTGATGCATATACGCATTTTAAGCTGGAATGTTTTTCTGAAGACCACTGGATGGCATCCTATGTCCATTACTTTTGAAATGAACACAGTTTTAGGTTCCTGACCTTGAGTTTTGTATATTCTGCCTGACTTTGGTATTTTACTTATCAAGGTGGGGGGGGGAAACATAAACAGAGGTGGTCTCTTTAAATCGTGACGTGCTAATATAAACATTCACGTGTCTGATTTATATCCAGGTCTTTTTTTTTATTCTATTTTTTCCTCTAGCACGTACGGTCTTTTAGGGTTACTATGTGGAGCTTTATTACGTTTTGCATTGCCTTGAGTCATATTTCAAGTTCTCTTTTTGTTTCGGAAAGCCTCAACTCCAGTCCGTTATGGCGCGAAGGTGCTATTTTTCAAAGGAAGAATATACTCGTATGATTAATGAATCATTTATTAACACAGATGAAAGTGATGATTCATTTTCTAAAGAGTTAGAAAGTGATACTTTTTCTAAAAGTTAGAAAGTGATACTTCTCCGTGCTTCGAGATTTACCACAGTCTTCATTTTAAATTTTGTTACTTTTTACTGCAAATAGTCTTTATTGTATTGTTTTATTAATTTTAAACTTTATTGATGGATTTTATCAATTAAAACTTTGGAATAATTTGAATAGCACTTCCGAAAATTATTTTACAAGATAAGGAAATTTTTAAGTATATTTTCATGTAAAATAAAGAAAGATTAGTTATTAAATGCTAATTTTAACACATATAAGAGCTGAAGTAATAATCTAAAATGATACCAAAAATTACTAAGCTAGAAGTGAAGCTTTTTTTTTTTTTTTTTTTCTGATTTTGTTTTATAAAATTAGGCTTAGTGATGCAAAACCCTCGTTTTGGACAGTGACTGCCTTCAATTCCCTTCCATCCCGCATGAGCGGCTTAAACAAAGGTGTGCCGTCAGAAAAGGGTTGAGCGTTATGTAGGATTGCATGATTAATTTGAATGATGCACTTTAGACTTATAGTGTTATTTTTAAGCTAGAGAGGAATTTCCCAAATTAAATAAAAAATAAAAGAGGCTCTAGCTAATTAAAATTAGAAGTTTGCTTTCATATTTTTTATCTTCTATGTATATAAGACAGATAATTTTTCTATGCATTATAGAGAGAGATAGATAGATGGCAGATTATTTATTTTATATATAAATTAAATAAATTGTTTAATTCTCTTCCGGTAGAATTGCACATTCTTTGTGTAAAACATATAACTAACAACTTAAATATGAAGATTGATTTGAATCTTGATGATTTTTTAATGGCATGTAATTATGCATAATGATGTAAATTTTCATGAACTAGATGGGTATTTTTGAGTAAGTAAGGGGTGCTAAGATGAAATTTCAAGCATTTTGGTAGAGATTTGTATAAAATAAAGTAACAGAATTTTTTTAACATTTTTTGATTTTTTACTTATTACTTAAGTTCAATTACTTCGTATTAAATCTTTAGATGCCCATCCGGCACTGATGGTAAACGCTGTCAGACGTCACCTGAACGGTGCATTGGTACACCTTGCATGCACGGTGGCATATGCAATGATTATGGAAGTGGACTCAATTGTTCCTGTCCTGCAGAATATACTGGATTAGGTTGCCAACTAGATTATGATGCCTGTGAAGAAAATATTTGCCAAAATGGTGCAACTTGTGAGGATATGGGAGAACAGTTCAGATGTATTTGTCCTCCTGGATTTACAGGTCCTCTCTGTGAAGATGACATTCCAGACTGCCTTCCTAATTCTTGTCCACCAACTGCCCAGTGCATTGACCTTACTAATGCTTTCTACTGCAAATGTCCTTTTAATTTTACTGGAGAAGATTGCAGAAAACGTAAGTTGTTCTACTTTTATGAAATCAAAATTATTAGAATGCTACTTATACCATTTCTGCAAAAACAATATATATATATATATAATTTTTATTTAAGCGCATGAAATATATCATTCCCTAATTTTTATCTATACAAAGTTTCTTTTTGTAGTTTATATCTAAAAACGTTCTTTTATCTATAACATATTCTATTTTATTATTATTATATTTTAAATTTTCCTCTTTATAGTTGTCTTCTTTATTTATTTAGGTACTTTCCGTTTCGCCTGCGCAAGTCTCGCCAAGCAGACTTTGTTGGCGGCAGCATACAGTATACACATAAATGTTAACAAATGTTAGTGCTAAGAACTTTTTATTTTGAAGGCATATACATTTTAATATGGTTTAAAATTTTGTAAAAAGCCAATAAATTTGTAAAAAGACATTAATTTAAGAATTTACTATGCTTTCATGTTTCAACATCCCGATTCGTCGGTTCTTATCACGTGACCCCGAGTGATCTCATCTCATGTAAACTACGCTACAAAAATCTAATTCTCTCAGCAATTATCTATATTAATTTTAAGTTAAATCTTAATTTGGAATGCAAGTTTAAATGCAAGAATTATTTCAATTCGTACGAATAGCTTACCCAGAAATTATGTAAAATCACACAGCTTTACTTCACTAGTGCATTCTCATTAGAATTGATGAATTTAACCCTTGATTTTGCCTTTTCTATATTTTCGCCTTCCGGTGAGCGGTGTGATTGCATCCTAATTGACTTAATTACCGCGAATGGCCTTAGAGCATAAAATTGAACTATCTTGTAAAAATTCTATGTAATTGTATGCCAGTTTTTAAAGAAACAATCAGTCTGATAAGAAATGGCATCGACTTGTTTTGAAAATGAAGTGTAAAAGGTTACCAGCAAAGATATTCTGTTTGGCATCAGTTGTACCATTATTAGCAACTTTATCGTTTGCGCCAGCAAAACGGAAAAGTACCCTTGTTTATTATTATTATTTTTTGCTATCATAAAAAGTCCTTTTTATAGATTACAAAACTATTTTTTGATTCCAGCTGTATTTGTTTAATTTTCTTTGTAGAGTATTTTGAAGTAATAAAATAGCACAATATCAGTTAATAATCACAAATAAATATATTTAAATCCTACTCATATTTTTAAAAATTTTGTATTTTCAGCTATAAGCATTGATTATGATCTCTACATCAATGATGAAAGTAAATCTTCCAGTGTTGCTCTAGCAGCTCCATTTGATTTAGGAACTTCTAGCCTCTCTGTTGCTATGTGGATACAGTTTAATAGTCATGAATCATCAGGCGTGTTCTTTACTTTATACAGTGTGGAGTAAGTTGGTTTATTTAGCCCTTAAAATGCTGGAGAAAGACAACTTTTTTTTTTTTTAAATTGTTCTTACTGTAAACGTTCTTATCTTAGATTACACATTTTTTAGCAATCTAATATAGTTATTAATACATTGTTGCTCTATTATTTACTAAATTAGTTAATAAATTTTTCAATGCTGGTGGATAATATAAAATTTATATAAAAAATAAGAAGTTAGCTGTTTTAAACTGCAATCAAAGTATGAAATCTGTATGAATTTTAGTCAGTTTTTCAGCTAAGCATATAAATATTGTGAATTTTTAAAATTTTAATTGTATAATATGCCATTAATATTGAAAATGTAATTTTATTAATTAGTTTTTGTTTATTGAATAATACATTATGAATTTTATTAATTTTTAAAATTTTGATATATTCATCTTCAATTTTTAATCCTGTACTAATTCCATTCTTAAAATTGTGTTCTTGAGCCACTGTTACAAAAAAAGCTAGTATCTCAGTTAATGTAATATTAAAAAAAATAAGTTTTATAATTATTTCAAAATGAATCAACGAGAATTGTTATGAAAGTAAACTAATTTGTGATTCTAATTTTTTTGTTAAACACAAAAAATGTACTAAAAATCTTCTTAGCTGCTATCATAACAATATATTTTTATATTTTTTAGTATTTTAATTGATTAGAAAAGATATAGGTGATAAATTAAAAATATAAGTAATTTTGTCAAGAATAATGTGAACAATCAGGTATGAGACACTATTTTGTGCTCAATGATAGCAAGTATAAAAAAACTAAATTAATGATGAATATCAATAAGCGTGAAATCAAGGTCAGCGCTAGATATTTTACTGCTCTGTGCAATAACTTGGCTTGTGAATTATGTCATTCAATTCCTACTTAAATTCTAAAATTTTTGCTGCCCCTAAATCTTGCCACCTGGAGTAGCTGTACTGTTTGCAACAGCTCTAGCACCTGCATCTGCCCTGCATGAAAAATAATGCTGTGCCACAAATAATGCTGCAAAAAGAAATGCTTTCTTAAGTGGGTAAAATATCACCCAGAAGATCCTTATTTAATTAATGAAGTGTTGCTAATATCAATAATATTTTATTATTATTATCTGTCAGTTTTGTCACTGATTTAAAATTACAGACGTATGCATTTTATTTCTTTAGGTCATTACATCTGCCTGTTGGGAAAAAGATTCTTTTGCAAGCAGATCAAGCTGGTGTCCTTATTGCTCTGTTTTCAGACAGTGTTCCAGATACTTTTATACCATATCTTAAAAATGTACCCATTAATGATGGCCAATGGCATCATATAGTGGTCATGTGGAGTGGTGAGACTGGAACAGTTTCTTTGATTACTGATGCTGCTGTAGCTGGCACAATAACAGGATATGGAGAAAATCTGTACTTACCTGAACAGTTAGTATTTTGCTTTTATTATGTTTTTCATAGTAGCATGCATATGGTTGTAAAAGTAATGAAAAAATTGGTTTATTTTTCTGCTTTATTTTTGATTAAAGCCAGTTTGTATTGATACACAATTAATTAAAAAGCACAAATATATAATGTGGGCACAAATATATATATATTGTGTAAAAATGCTTTAAATTTCTAATTTTTTAATCAGCCTCTTAAGTTAATTGAACCATTGTCTCTTAATTTAATTAATTAACATTGTTAAATTAAAATCTTAATTAATTCAAGCCGTTGAATTAGAATTAAATAACAAAATGTATGTAACAATAAAATAGAAACTAAAGATCCCAAGAAAAATTGCTATAAGATTCCGAAAATTAATTGGATTGATTAGATATTGCAAGATACATGTAGTTGGATAGCTGCTGAGAATTTCTGAAAGGATATTAAGGTGAATATATGAAATGAAGTAACTTAATATATATATAGTACTTGACTAAGACCATAAGCAAAATTTTTACTAGAAAAGCTAGAAAATGCAAGTTAAATGTTGTTGCTGAAGACTGACTGCAACAGGACCAAAACAAGGCTTAAAAGTGAAATCGTAATGAACAAGTTCTCTTAACTTTTCAATTCTATGCTAATTAATGTTAAACAAAGAAAAATTCAAATTTATGTTACTATATATAAAGTGATATGGAGAAATAAGTTTCATTAAAAAATAGATAAATATATTATCAAAAATTCTACTTAGAAAATAAATAATTTTAGGATGTATTATGATTTTATTTATTTTAAGATGTATTAGGATTTTAGGATGTAAATAATTTTAGAATGTATTTTTAGCTATAAGTATTGATTGTGATCTCTACTCCGATGATGAAAATAGATCTTCCAGTGTTGCTCTAGCATATCCATTTGATTAAGGAGCTTCTAGCCTTCTTCTTTTGTTTGTGAAATATGTACATGTTTTAACTCCATATTATGTGATGGAAAATGAAATTTATTTGCAAAATTTTATTCCATTTTTTTTTTCTATTTATGCATTTACTATCAGTTACAGATGAAAAGGTCAATTTATCTTTCACTGTTGCCGATGTCAGTTATAAAGTGCAATACGGGTGATAGTTATAAAGTGAAATGGTTTTAATTCTTTGATATATATTATAGTCCATCCCTTATTATATACTCTAATTTGAAATTAATTCCTTGATATTCTTTTATGAAAGTACAGTTTTTTCCCATGAAGTTCCAGTTTCAAAATCTTTATAATAATTTTAAGTATATTTAGAATTAATTTTAAGTGTATTTAGAATTTTTATAGTTATGTATTCTCACATTCTCTGCATCAAAAATAATTGCCAACCATAATTATGTTGCCAAAAGACCATGTAGGCTATTAAAGCAATGCAAATTAATGCTATCTGCTCGTTTAAAATTTTAGCCCTATTTTCAGTCGTATTTTGCTCATTGTTTTAACTTTATCATGAATGCAAATTAAGAAACCTTGAGTTTAATCTTTGTTTCAAGTATTCCAATTAATTATTTATTTACTTTTTTTCAGTGCATGGGTAAATCTTGGATCGCCACTAGATGAACAGAACAGAGCCACTGCATCTGCTGGTTTCCATGGTCGAATCAGTAGAGTAAATATATGGAACAGACTTTTGGATGTTTCGTATGAAATACCAACACAGTTCCGCAGTTGTAAGAGTGCACCTGTTCTTTACAATGGACTCTTACTGAGATGGACTGGATATGACCGGTAATATTCCTATTTTGGTACTTAATCAAATGTTGATTCAAAACTGATTGCATATTTTCAAAATAGATAGATAATCTGGTTTATCTAAAAGGGGGCAATGAGATGAGAAAAAATGTGTTTTGCTGAAAAGTTTTAAGTATTAAGTTTCTATGTTTACAATTTTTGCTGTATTTAAATTTTTTTCATGTTTCCACCACTATCCAAAAATTACAGCTTTCGTATAAAACTTTCATAAACCAAATAGGCAATAAAAAATATCTTTAATTTTTATGCAAAATGTTTCTGAACTTTTGTAAAAGAAAAAAATAGTTAAAAAAAAAAAAAAAAAAAAAAAAGCTGAAGAAATGATGAATGAAGTTTTCAGATTTTTTTTTAACATTTTGTGTGCTGTCTTTATTTATTAAATATGTCCTTCGCACTTAAACTATAAATGGTACCAACTAAACTATAAATGGTATAAAATTCAATTCAACAGCAGTATTGCAAAATAATTTTAAAATGAGTATATCCTTAGAATTTCCGATACACTGTCTCACATGCTGGAGATAATTTTTTTCCCCCGTACAGTGGCTCGCTTTGAAATGGATCAGTTTCTTAATCAAAAACTCATAAATGCTTTACGAAATATGGTATAGATCATAAAACAAATTCCAAATTTGGGCTTCCAGACGCCCATATTTGGGTGGAAACGTACATTATTCAAAATTGGATGGTACCATTGTTTTATCACATGCAAGAAACATACATATGCAGATTATTCGTTATTTAATTTCTTTAAATATTACACAGGGCTCTAATATTTGGTGGCAACAATTTGAAAAGTGAACCGACCTTCATAATGAACCAATGCAAAATGCCAAAATGAAATTAATAGCAGTTATGGGCTAATGCTATTGGGCTTAAAAACCTTACCAAATAGCAAAGTCTAATATAGCATTAACTTAAGATATGATAGGCGCATAATCTACAGTGATGCATTAGTGTAATTTCATTTGCCATGATTTGAGAGACAATGTGCATCTTCAAAAGCTGCAAGCTATTGATGATTATGATGATGTGTTAGGCTTCTGTTGTTTGATGTTGAGGCACAGAGATAAAATGGGAAGAGGGCAAAAAATGCATTTGTTAAAAAAATAAAATTAGTTAGAAGGGAAACATTAACTCCACTAGACAGCGATTAGTTTCTGAATCATACATATTCCGAAAGATATTTGTTATATCTTTACATCAAATTAAGTTTAGTGAAAACTTCATGTAAGCAACAGATAGTGAAGGAGAGGATTTTCATTTTCTAAAATAAAGTTCCTCAAAATTAATGAAATTAACATTCATGAGAGTATCAGTTGCTGGTCCTCATGCTGGGTTATTAAGGAATAATCCTAAATTTGAAGATGCAATGCATAAGACTGAATGTGATGCACAGAAATCTTTTTCAAACATAATGTCTTCTTAATTAACAATAAGGCATAAAAATTAAAAATATCTAATAAAGGAATTTCTGATAAATTATGTTGTTGTTGCATTTCCTCTGGTTTCTGACGAAGTCAGACAAGGTCCAAAAGACCGTTGACTCTAAGAAAGGAGGGAATTGGAATAAATATTCTCCCTAAAGAGGCCCGAGCAGCCTAATATGTGCTCGGCAGATACCCAATGTTCTCGGCACTTGGTGAACATGGCAAGGATTTTCATGCCCTCCTTGAAAGAGAGGCTCATAATATGACCGCTGGCAATATGTCAGAGTGCAGTTTGGGAGTACCTGTTACACTCAAGGGTTAGAGTCCAACCAGGTTTGTTGCCCATTTACCAGAGATGAGTGGAGGGCACCAACCACTCCACCATGATTTGTGATGTTTTCAGAGAATAGGTAAGGGTAGAAGAGGAGGGAGTTAAAAGGCCACAGCCCTCCTTTGCTAATTTGTCTGCTATTTCATTGCCATAAGATCCATATGGGATGGGATCCACTGAAAATAGATATCATGATGCAGAGGAATTAGGTGTAGTTTTTGTAGGACAGAGATACTAGTCTTATCCTTCACATAAATCCAATTACTTAGATACTGGAGTGAGCTCCGCCTATCAGATAAGATCCATAGATCTTCAAAATTATTCTCCGTTAGTACAACCTCAAATCCTAAATTGATTGCCATCAGTTTACTTCTGAAAACTAAATTCTCTGATAAACTATACAGTGTTGGAGAATAATGCATTGGATTCATTTTCTAGATTACAATTTAATTTTGTAACAAATGAATTTGAAAAGAGAAGAAGCTATGAACATCGAGAACATATCCAACAAGATATTTGTACAACCAAAGCACAATGTAAGGCAAAATAGTAGTTCACCTCTGTGGATTTCTGAAAGGAAATGTATCTCAGGCAGAATACTGAAAACAATCATCAGAATTTTATTCTTAAATAGTTGTTGTCCATGGTAATAATAGTGTGTAAAATATTTTTTTTTAATGTTGCTTAAAATGAATACTTGGTATGAAAATCTGACAACCAGATTTGAAATCAGCACCGAAAAATAGGTCAATTTTCAGTATCTAAATGCTGTAACAAAAAATAATTAAAGTTTATTTTTAAGTGTAATAGCTCATTATAAAAATATGTGCTTAATGTAATACAGTGGAACCTCTATATATGCGATACAAGGAAAGTATGAGCAGAATGTCTCTAAATACAAGCATTGACTTGAGTAACGAGCTAGGCTGTTGGTATGTGTGGTGCCATTTCCCAATCTGCCTCGACTCGAGGCATCTATGTATTTGATCTATGTATTTGTGTGCTTGTAAGTTAATTGTTTATTACATTTAACATGAAAGTAATTATTTCACGATGCTTCCCACGAAGATTGTTGCCGCAGATAGTGCTGCAAAGAAAAATAAGGAAGCCATGGTCGTCAAAATTAAGAGAGAAATCATAGTGTGGTGTAAAAGTGACAGAACTGGTAAAGACTTTATGACCTTTTGACATCACCGATCTGCACTATTCTGAAGAAGAAGGAAGAAATTGAGAAACTTGATGTAGGCAAAGGAGTTACCATTACTTCCAAGCACCGTCCAAAATCCTAGAAGATGTTGAGAACCTGTTGTTGGTGTGGATTAATGAGAAGTAGTTGAAAGGCATTTCAGTGTTAGAAGCTTTCATAAATGTAAACTATGGTTATATTATTTACCAGCCTTATTTATTAGAAAATTGATTTTTATGTCGATATTTTTTGGGGTGTAGAATGGATTAACTGGATTCATATTATTTTCAATGGGGAAGTTTGTCTCTAGATACGAGAAATTCGCTATACGAGCTCATTGCTGGAACGAATTAAACTCGTATCTTGAGGTTCCACTGTACTTCAAAAAGAAAAAATTATAGTTATAAAATATTTGACATACTTGTTGATATATTGAGTTAAAAACAGCAAAATAAAGCATGATGTTATAAAATATAGCTAAGAACAGTTTATTTAAATAACTCTGTCTGTATGAATTTGAAACATCTTTCTCTATCAATAATTATATCTTGATATATTATTTAAAATACTGTGAATCCTTTTATTACATATTGTTGCGTGCGTACGGGTTCGTTACGAAATGAATGCACAAGTCCGTTGAAAAATGAACAAAAATTTATTATTATCACAACAAATATGATTAAATGTCCTCAGATAATCATGCAGTATCACAATATATCACAGTTGTTATCTTCTAACTGCTCAAATGTTCAACAGAAGTTAATTCAAAACAGCTAAAGAAAGCTAATCCGTGAATTCTCTACAGTCAACAAGAGCAGTTTTCTAAGCAAACTCTTAAAACAACAACAAATTAACTACAATCACTGACTAATTGAATTGAGAGGTTTTAGTCCTTTTTATAAGATTTTTAAATCGCGCGCAAGAACTTTCTGCAACTTTCTCGAAATCAAAAAGAGATATTTATTTATTTATTAAATGTGAAATGCACGTGCTCTTGTCTTTTAATTTTCCGGCTTAGTTTTCCATCAATATTCATCACGTGCTACACTGCACGGGGAATAAAACAATTTTATTTATAATTCAACTAACATTATCTATTTAAATACCAAATCCGTAACAATATGTATTTCTTTCTTGTAGTGTTGATGGCACAATAGAGCGTGAAGGACCAGGTACCTGCGGAGAATATATCTGCCCTGTAGGCTTTACAGGAGATGCTTGTGTGATTCAGACCCAAGATAAACTTCCACCAAAACCTTTAGAGTGTCCTCAAGATATATGGATTGTGACTCCTAATAACAGTGCTCAAGTGACTTGGAAAGAACCTCCTTTTATTGATTCAATGCATACATTGTATGTTATGGAACATAGGGGATTGACACCAGGTTTGTTAACACACTTTATTATAATAATGAATTCACTACTTATGCTTAGGAAACTGCTTTGAATTTTATAGCTGAAATAATCACATGAAACAAAATTATTACCTGCAGTGATGCATTTAATGAGGTATGTAGGCCAGGTATTTATTACCCCTTTTCGAAAATTATATTGATAATTTCCGTATAGTATGAGATAAAGGAAAACTTATCGCTAAAATTATGGAATGGATTTTAATTCAGTAAATCAAACACAGGAAAAAAATCATATCGGTCTAAAAATATTCATTAAAAACTGGAGTACAGCAGTTCTGAGTCATTCATTTTAATTAAAATATGTAAAATATGTGACATTTTTATGGAATAAATTACTAGCTATTAATCACATTATTTTTACTTGAAAATTCTACCATTATGTTCTCATATTTATTTAATTATGCTTTTCATACTGATTTGTTAGTCTTCTGCAGACATATGTGCTCTGTGTAAAAAAAGAGGGGCAGTTCTATATCTCCCGTTCTACTGAGTCGATTAACGAAATTCAAATTGCGTTTTTCATGTCTCGAAAGCGCGACTTAGGATATGTATAAGAGTTATATATAGCCTTATTCTAATATCATTATTTTTACACAAAATCGGACTTTTTCTAAATTGACATCTCAATTTTTTCCATATTTCGATTCTACGACTCAAATGATGCCTGATTTTGTAAAATTTGGTGCAAAATTTATGGAAAAATTCAAAAATTTATCTTGCCGTATTTTTTCAATTTGTGCCAAGAATAATTCACTTGGTGAACTTCTTAATTTATGCCAACCTATTTTCCCTTCCTTTTTTACATTTGTGCATGAGAGGGGGAAAAGTCACATTGTTACTTTCAGATAATTTTAACAAAGTGCGTAAACGACATCACATGTTATTATCGCTTTCTACAAATATACCAAAATTCAGAGCAGGCCAATATATAAATTCACATATATCTTTGGAAATTTTGAATAAAAAATTCTAATTTTTTGCAGGTATGCTTAGAAATACATCTACTTTAAAATGATGGTAAAAATTGTATAGGTTATAATTCAAAATTTTTTTGGAAAAATTTATTAAAATTATTTAAAAATACAAATTTTATAAATAAATCATAAAAAATGAGTGAATTTGGAATGAACTTAACTTTTGAACTGTGAAAGAAGGAATCAAGTAAGTTTAATAAAAAAAAAGGAAGCTATTAATAAATATATATCAAACTCAATTAACACTGAGGAGCTAAAACTTTGAGAGCTAAATTTTTAAAAACTACTCCTATGATTTTTACAAAACTTGGTAGTTTGGTATAATTTGAGACGTAGAATCAAAATATGTAAAAAGATTGGCATGTCATTTCAGAAAAAGTCCGATTTTGTGTCACAATACCTATATTAGAACAATGCTATATATATAAATTTAATACATATCCTAAGTTGCACTTTCGAGACATGAAAAACACAATTTGAATATCGTCAATCAGCCCAGTAGAACGAGAGATACAGAACTGTCAGCCCTTTTTTTTTCTTCGCAGTGTACCTTTGGAAATATTTTCTCTTAACTGACATTGATTGTATTAGTCAAACTTAAAAAAAAAAAAAAAAAACATTAGTTACGTTTTTACTTTTAAATTCTATAATTCTAATTTTCTTAACCCCCAGGAAAAAAGCTCATAATGCTGGTAACAAGCATATCATCATATTAGGTTATTCCACTTAAATTTTAAATTCTAAATCATTTGATGTTCTTTTATAATTTGACATTGGCAAATTATACACAGTATAATAATTTTGTTAAAACAAATAATTATATTTTTGTTCATTACTATATAATATATTTTATCAACTACATTAATTATTATTAGCTATCTTATTACAGATATCTTATTTAAAAAGTACCTTTCAAATTTACTTGCCATTTTAAATGTTATCATCCCTTTTCAAATTGGAATTATTGCATGGAATTACTATTTTTTTAATTACATTTTTATAACTCTTTTCCAGGTCAGACTTTGAGCCGAGGAATTCATCAGCTGTCATACATTGCTAAAGATGCTGAAGGAAATACAGCTAAATGTGACTTTAAAATCCACATTTTAAGTATGTGCTGTAATTTTTATTAATATTGTGTTAATTGTTATTAATGTTTGCCTGTAATGTAGCTATCATACGAGGCAATTATTTAACTGAATATTAATTCCTGATGTTTTCTGCAGAGGAATTTTGTCCTTTGCCTCCACCTCCAGTGAACGGACAAAGACACTGTTCTGATTGGGGGCCAAATGGCCGATTCAAGGTATGCACCATAACATGCAATTCAGATTTGGAGTTTTCTCAGCCTGTTGCTAAATTTTACACTTGTGGCGCTGAAGGCATTTGGCATCCACCATCTGGTCATGGTTCAAATCTAGTATTTCCAGCTTGCTCAGGTAAAACAACTTTTATGCTGATATATATTTTTAATATTTTATGTTATCATATATTATTTTAGTTAATTTCATGTCATTCCAAATGGCCCAAATCCATATGTCACTTAGCCATCTCATCATGAAAAACAGTGATCAAATTACACCTGTCATAAAGAGGAAGTGACCGCTTGGTGGCAAGGTGGATAACGCTTCGTGCGGCTGCATCACAGGTTCGGGGTTCGATCCCCGGGCTGGGCAAGGTCGACTCAGCCTTTCATCCCTTGAGTGGGCCGATAAAATGAGTACCAAGTTTGCTTGGGAACTAAACACCGGGGGTCCTGCGACAAGCTGACCACTTGCCCAGGGCATATGCTAATGCACCCCGGGGACCAAGGTCAAGAAAGCAGATTTCGGGGTACTGCAGGCTGTGGCCCACTAGGGCTGTTGTATTACTGAGTTTAGGTTTTTATAGTAGAAAGAGGAAGTTCTATTCCATTTTTAATGGAGAATATCCCAAAGGGGAGAGATCCAAAGACCTCTCACCCTTCTTCTGCTGTCACTAAACCTCCCCAGAGGACTTTCAATACTTTAAAAATGCTTCATACCACACAGACACAATATACTTAGTGTAACATCCAAGCCTTCTGCGGGATTCAGACTCGAGGTCAACAATATGGCAGCCAGCATTAGTAACCTCTATACTAGTTAGGATCACAGTTAAATGTCTGTAGTGGTAATTTTTTTTAATTGAATGGCAAGCACTTGCCTTTTTTCAGCATTCCTAAGGCCAAAAGTGATGGCTATTTTATTGTGGAAGCACTTAATAGGTGCTATACCTCCATTACCTCCTATGAGGGGAGAGAACTGAAGACTTAGACCTCCGTCCTAGATCTAAACTTTCGGGGTGTTGTTGTCTAAGGTCCTGAGACCCTTGTCCATGTGGGTGCAACCCTGCATTCCACGCCCCCACCCCCGCCTTTATACAAAGCCAAGAAATTCGATGCAAATTTAGAAACACTCTGTGACATCTTTGCCTCCGGGGACCACGCCATTGGCAATCATTAATTCAGCTTGGTGCTCTGTCCACTCTATCAGTTCCCATCACAAGAATTGAATGGGGTCAAAGCCTCGAGGACTAGGTCGGTAATCTCCGATCTAGCTCCACAACAGCCGAAGGAACATTGGCCTGGCAAGTCCGAACCAACCTCCGAATGAATGGAGGCTCTAGTCCTGTGAAGATTGATTTATACCCCCATGGTTGAGACTGCCTAAGTACAGTTTGCAGTTGGCTAACCTAACCACTATATTGTCTGGGCGGCATAAAAAAATGTAGACATTTTGATGTGTGTCTCCTTTTCTTCAAATTATAAGATAACTGAAACATGTAATTATTAAACATATCACATTAATAAAATTTCTTTTCCTTCATATTCACAACTATTAAGGATAATAAATTTATTAAGACTGGAGTACTAGCTTGAAGCTTTTCATGAAAGTATTTATTCTAATCCTCAAAATCTAGTTCAGTTTATTACATATATAAGATCTTCATTTGTTGTAGAAGAAGAAAAAGAGAAATTGTTTTTAGCTTTTCCAAATTGAAGTTTCACTATAAGCTGTACAATTTTAAAGAAAGAGACCTGTTGTTATAACCTGTTAAAAATTAAAATGAACCTTTCTAGAAAATAATTACAGATTAATGAAAGTGTTTGAAAATTATTTTTGAAAGCTATTTTCCTCTTAATAGATAGAAACAAATAAAATTATTTTAATTTGAAACGGTCTATGTTTTATTATTAACGATACAATGGTTACCCATTTTCTATTATTGTTATATCTGACTGAGAATCTTGAGAAAACTGAACTAAACAATATAGTGGTGCTTTTTATGGGCGTAAATATTCGCTAGAAGGATTAGATATTTAATGTTATTTTTAAATTTCTGTTACAAAATGTATTTTAGAATTTCTCCCAAAGCTCTGAATGTTATGCTAAAGATGCTTTAATCTGTAATTATTTCTAGTCTAACAGATGTCCTTTTAGCACAGTTGTTAATTTAAAAAATATTGTTTCACTTTAGTCAGATTTAAGATTTATTTCTTGAAAACATGGAAAAGTAAAAAATTTTGGAATTAGTTAATGACATATGTACTATTCTGATATTTTATTTCTTCTTTTTGTTGATCTGAATTATTTAAAATTTTCTTTTGTAGCCAAAAAACCTGCACAGAAAATATTCAGAATTAGTATGAATTTCCCATCCTCTGTGGTATGTTCAGAATCTGGCAAAAAGATCTTGAAGTCTAGAATCGAAAATAACTTAATCCGAGTAAATCGGGAATGGAGAATTTGTACAGACAATATACCTGGTGTTTGCAATGGTCTCAAAGTTAAAGTACACTGTAGCAAGCAAGCTCAAATCAAGAGACAATTGGATAATAATGAGCTGTATATAGTTGAAATTTCGTTTCCTGCAAATAAGTAAGTAAATTATTTTCTTTTTTGAATAATAATTTTCCAATTATTTAAGATTAAGCTGTGAAAGAATTCCTTCTACCTCCATGACAAAAAGTTTTATTATTTTATGAGTAGTTTATATTTAATGTTGTATTATGGCTATATATAATATTTATTAATATTTGTTTCAAAATAATATAGTAAAGTTAAATTAAATTTAAATAATTGTCTTGCACCATTGCTGCAAGGAATGAAATTTGAATTTAACAAATATTCACATTTCGTAAAAAGCAAATTTAAAGTTAATTAAATTTTAAATGAAATTGAATTACAAATAAATGATTAATAATTGCTGCAAACTAATCTACAATATCATTTAAGTTCTGAGAGCATATGCAAATCAATTGCAAGTATCAAAATCTATGAATAAAAATATAATTCCAATAAATCCTAAAAATTTATAAAAATGCATAAGTGAATCATTTATTTTTAATTCAATTTCATTTAAAATTTAATTAACTTTAAATTTGCCTTTTATGAAATGTGAATTTTGTTAAATTCAAATATTTAATAATATTATGTTTATTGTACAAAAGATGTTATTTTTAATATATATTTGTACTTTAATGTTGCCCAAAACAATAATATGTGTGTTTATGAAATGAATATGAGTTCTCACATTAATGAATGGGAGTTATTATAGTATTTCAGACTGTCGAATAAGACATTAAATAGCTTGAGAAGTGAAATATGACTTAAAGCTGTTCTGCTTTTGAGTGACTTATTGACAAATGTTTCATATCCTACCTCAAACAATTAAATTTCATTAATGATATCAACTAGTTATATGAATAATCAAATTAAAAATTTTCAAATAAAAATAAATTAAAAAATTTAACTATAATTATCAGGTTTGATCTTGTGAATAAAATATAAAATAACTTGGAATGGAGCTGTTATTTTGTCATATAGCAATCAAATAATCTGAAAGAACTCAGAATTTAATGGGAGCCTGCTCCTATTAATTTCTATAAAATTTCATTCTTTGTGAAAGTGAATTATGATGCTATTTATTCAGCAAATAAACTTTGAAAATTTTAACACTTTTTTTTATTTTTTACCCATGAATTTTTTTAAACCGAAGAGATAATTTATATGTATTTGTAAATTCATATAATTAATTAAAAAATATTCTAGTCATATTTAAATTTTAATTTGAAATTTATTTAATATCTTGCAGTTTTCAAAAATTCTTTTTTGCCTTGATCTTACAGGGATCCTGTTGTCAACATTAATACACAGCAGCAGTCTTCCATCCAAAAAGTTCTTGAGTCAGCAATTTTGCAGAATCAGGCATTTGATATTCATGATACTTTGCCCAATGTGCTACCAGATTTAACATCTCTTGATATGGTTACTGATTACTCATGTCCAGCTGGTCAAGTTGTTGTAGCTCCTTATTGTGGTATGGATTTTCGTAGAAATTTTAATATTAGGAGTTTGGATAATGCAGTTTCCATAATAAACATATTGTTTGCATTAATAAATATAACTATTTTTTTTTGTATTCAATAGTATAATGCAATCAAATCATACTGTCCTCTGACAAATATTCTATCGACTTTCAAAAGAGTATTTTTCATTTTTTTTTTTCTTTTTGTAAAAAAAGTATTTTTTGTGAAATTTGATTGATGCTTAGATTATTGAATTAATCTCCTTTATGTTATAAAAAACATAGTCAAACTAATGGGTGGATGCGATAGCAGAAACTGTTACTCAGCTTGTAATTTTCCGTATTTTATGGAATAATAATGTATATATAACTCTTTTAGTACTGTTTTTTAATTAATTTAATATTTAATTAATAAACATAAGGTATTTGAGGAACCATAATAATAGTAAAAAATATTTCAGAAATGATTTTGTCCATTTTGAAATAACTAAAATAAATAAGCCCATGTGAATTATTTTTCCTAAACGATTGTTTAACGTTCCTAATATGTGATCTGACTCTGTATGAATTAGTGTTTAATTTAGTTATAACCCAAAGTATACAGCAATAACTTTAAGCTTTATCTGAATATATATTAGAATATAATTGCATTGGTTACTTTTGTAATTATAATAATTTGTTCTGAAAATGAGATTCTGTTTATTTGTAACACACAGTTTTTGCTTTGCAGTTGAATGTGGGCTTGGAACATATTATGACAATTCAAGTAAAGCCTGTTTATCATGTCCTGTGGGTACTTATCAAGATGGAACAGGGCATTTAACTTGTAAAGCATGTCCAATAATAGGGGAAAAACAAGGTATAACAGAAACTGTTGGTGCTAGATCTAGTGATGAATGCAAAGGTAAAGTATGCTATAATATCTTTTCTGCTGTTATAATTTCAAAGCTTACTCTTTTCATAAGATATATATTTATCAGCATTTTAAAATCCGAAACAAAATTGGGACTTTTCAATCAATGCTTTTCATTTGAATTTTATAGATTTTCTAGTTATTGATGCAAGTCATTTTCCCCTTTATTTTTTTTATTTACAAAATCTGTTTCCATTCCTCACTTCATCTCCTCTTATCTGTATAAATTTTAAACTTAAAACTGCAAGCTACACAAATGAATCATTTTTTGTTTTACTCTAAGCTGTAACAAATAAAATGACTTCATATTCTCTACAGTTTTTATTTAAAAATATTTCATGAAGGCTCTAAAAGAGGTAGTCTTTACATGCTAAATTGAAAAATCAATTTTTCAAGATATCAGAAATAGCAAATAAGTTCTATCTTATCTTGAAATGTTTAATAATTAAAAATAAATAAACACAATTTTAGGGGAAAAAAAAAAAAAAAGAAAACGGAAAAAGCATTTCTCCCCCTCATAAATGATAATAAATTGAGATTTGATAAATTTGATATAGCATATTATATTTCTTTTGTGATGTTGTTATACATTTCATGCTTTGTGTAGCATCCACATACCTTTTCATATAGCTACACTACAGTATTTTATCATTAATACAAATCACATTATTCATTTTCCAGTTAATTTCCCAAATGAGAGAGTATGATCTATGTACAAATCATGAAAATCTCATCACTGTCAGAAATATATTAATCATGAAGGTCAAATAGAAACAGCACATGATTCCATGCCTATAGCATAAAATTAATATGCATTAACTTGTGCTATGTTTCGAACAATAAATGCTTGGCCCTGTTTATCATGAAGAAAATAATGCATTATACCTTAAGATTAAGATATAATGCATTATTCTTTAATAATGCATTATTAAAATATAATGCACTATTTATAAAATTTAATTTCTCAGTAAAAAATAACCAAATAAATAACAACAATTTTATGTAAAAAATTATTACTACTTAAAATCAGTTGCTTAAAATCCTTGCATTAGATACTCATATATAGATTTGAAAAGATGCTTAGCTACCAATTTTCAGTTTTGTGTTATCATGAACTAGCACATTTTAAATTAGTTCCTTCATCTATTAGACTAGAGGGCTTTCATCAAACTACTTATAAAATTATTTTTACTAAAAATGTAGTGATCATGGGCTAAATGTAACACTGATTATACTAAATAATGACTATAGTTTTAGAAAAAAGTTGATTAATAGCTTATTTTTTCTTTATCTGAAGATGAACTAAATTGCTTATGAATACGATTGTGAACTAAACTGATTATGAATACGATTGTAATAGTTCTATAATTTTTAAATGTATTTTTGGAAAGATTATTTAATAAAACTCTTATATTGTGTCCAGAAGAATTGAATACGCTTTGGTATAAGGTAATTCCTAGGTTACTATAGCAATTCTCCATAGGACTAATGGGCAAGATTGCCAGGTGAGCAGGCTGCACCCAAAACAAAATTTATAAGTTCTATGTACATCTGAAAAGAAAATGCATAAAAACATCTCAGTATGAACAAAATCAATAAATTCTTTCCACACAAAAAACAATTCATATTTTCGTTTTTGGCCAAACCAGGAAACAAAAACTGATAACGTTATAATTTAAATTTAATGTAATATAACAACTTTTTCTCAATATCAGTAAAACAATTAATGTAAAGTAACATACCATGTCAATTATACAAACCTGAAATAAAAAAGTTGTCAATAGCAGCTATTTATTTAAAATGCCAACATTAACAAAAAAATTTTCAACACACAATGACATCATATGCAATTGTGTGCCGTTTCAAAGTCAGAATATGACCGTATACAATAATAATATGTTTGATATTTGGCAGTGCTAATTTTGTAAAACTTATAAATTTTTTATTAACAAACTCTACAATTTGAAAGGGAGTAGTGGCAACACTTTTTGAAATAAAGCATTTTTAATTCCAGCATGTGCTACTGTTGCCACTCAAGATAATGAGTGTGAAAATTAGCGTTTTCAAAGCTTTTAATTAATATCTTAGCTGATTAAAGTTGTATCAATATGAGAATGGTCGAAATGGCTTCCCATGAATTTTTGGAATCCGAGAGTACCTCTCTCAAATCTCAACTCACCGCCGTTCCGAGAGGATGATTTTACAAACAGATAGACAGGCACATGTGCACAGATTTTAATAGTATAGATTATTGAAAATATCTGAAATAATCCTTTCTGAGCTCTTTAATCAAAATATATTTTAAGTATAGTTGATTGAACCTAACCTAATGACCTATAAGCAGATTTACATTTCATTCTAACTAAGATATTCCACTGATTTTTTTTTAGTGTGATTTTCTCAAATTCAGGAACATTTGCAACTATTAGAAATAGTAACATTGTGTATTTTCTTCATTATTATACAAAAGAACTGTTTGAATAATTTTCCAATAAATCATAAAAAATCAGCACTTTTTTTTTTATTTGAATGATATTTAAATGTGGGTAATATTTGGAAATGTATCATTAGTGTTATGGAAATCAGTGTATATAAATTACATGACTATGAAAATTTTACTACCTAAAGGGAGAAGCTGACAGTATGCTGATTTTTTTTAATAGAAGCTTCAAATCTATTAAATGTATTTAATAAGTAAGAAAAGAATTTAGATTCTAATTAGATTATAATAAGTGATACAATGTCCTATTTATATTACTGAAGGGAAATTCGGAATTTTGTCATATACCGAAAAATACTCAGAGCGCAGTAATAAACGCATTAAATATGAAAAGTTAATATGATATTTAATATATACAATTAACAAGAATAATTTATATAGTATCCTGTTTTGTAGCGATATGAAAAATATTAAACGTATTTTCATTTTGTAATTTTTTACAGTACTAACATTACCTTTTTAATGTATCAGAACCTACAAATCCAACCTACAAAACCAACTCTACAAATCCTTTCAAATCTTAGTTTTTGTGAATGGTTTTAATTAATACTTTTTTTGTTCATGTACATCATTACATTTCCTTTAGAAACTGGAATGTATAATTTAATATGTAATTAATGAAAAAAAGCATGCTATTGTAAGTTCACATTTATATATGTATTTTATCATTTTGAATATAGAACGTTGTTCTCCTGGAATGTATTATGATGACGTCGCTAACCTCTGCCGGCCTTGTGGTCATGGTTTCTACCAGCCAAATAAAGGTGCTTTTAGTTGTATATCTTGTGGATCTGATTTAACAACTAAGAGTAACAAAGCTGTGTCACCTCAAGAGTGCAGAGGTAAGTCTCATTTACTGTCTTCAGAATTTAAATTAATTAAATTATATATTAAATACTTTGGTTCAAAGATTCTCAATCACTGGTCCGGCGGATTAGCAATGGTCTACAGAAGAATTTGATTGGTCCTCGAAGATTTTTACCTGTCTGCATTACAAAAATTTTATTCAAGAGGTAACCATAATAAAACTTTGTACGACATTTTTTACATTAATGCCTTAACTTTAGGATCTGGAATCCAGAATTTTGTGTTTGAAAGTTGGTAACACACATTGGTGGTACGCTCACATTTGTCACTTGTTACAGCTTGCACTTAAACTGTACAGATTGCTTAAACTGAGAAAGAGTTACAATAATTCTAGTAAACTGTGCCCAGCTGTGTAAATGAAGCAATTGCTAACTGTGGCAAACATTTTGGAAAATATTGAGAGGTAGCTTCCCTGCACAGCACTTTGCTTTCCCAAGTCCATGGACGAACAGCCAGTCCACGGGGAGGAAAAAAAGGGCTAGTCCACACAAAATCTTTTCATAGATTTTACTGGTTCCGTAGGCCCGAAAAATTAGAAAAACACTGTTGTAGTTAATACATTTCAAATTATATTAAATGAAGGCACAGTATTATATTTTATCATGATTTCAACACATTTAGTATTGAAGATTGTTATCACTAAATAAATATTCCATTTCCAACAGGATTTATTAAATAATAATGATAATTATTATCATTATTAGATTTATTCACATTAGTTTGTCTCTTTTGTATAATTTGAATTCATATTTAGTCTTTCATTTGGATGAATTTAAAATGTGTTTTTCATATAAGTATCTACTATATGATGTTTAATCATAGCTTTTATGTAAAAAAGTCCTGAAACAATAATTTTTTACATAAAAGCTACAATTAAGCATGATATAGTAGATACTTATACAAAATCTGAAAATACATTGAAATAATATAAATTATGCAAAGAGGGAAAATTGCAGTTTTCTCCTGGTTTATGAAAGTTAGTATTCCTACAAATTCCCATTATATGAAACTGCATTTCTTTTATAAACCTAAGGAATTGAAGAAGCAGTGTAAGTGTATTTAATTGAAGGTAACGTAATGAACTTAACTATAAATAGATTTGCATTCCATTAGGTTAGCTACGAGATTCAATTGATTTTTTAAGTGTGATTTTCCCAAATTCTGGAATATTTATAACAATTAAAATAGTAACATTGTATATTTTCTTCCAAACTAAATCGATTTAAGAAGTGATTATTAATTTACTTTTATGATATTATATTTATTAATTATTAATTGATTATTAATTTATTTTATGAAAAAAATTTTACATATTCTTGGATTTAACAAAAAGGAGGAGTATGAAAAGTTGTATTACTGTATAAAATAACACATAAGAATTAAAATAAAAAATTTGTCTGATATGATAAATGCTGTATAAGTAGACACAACTCGTGTATGGTGTAGTTTCACCTTAAAAAACTGGAAAGACAGCAAAAATGTTAGAAATATCATAGACGGTAGTCAAAATAATGCATTAAATTGTGTCAACAAAAATTTGGTAGCTGGAGAGACTACAGTAAGAAAGTGAAATTACAGATTGCAGATTATCTATTTATTTCATCATTCCATGGTACTTGTGTATTATCTCGTCAGTCATGAAACTTGGCAGAGATCCTGCCAAAAGTTTTCGTCGGTTTTTTGTTAGGCCGTCCGATTTTACCAGAAGCTCTGTTTAGAATGCTATGGGTGCAAACTTCCTGCATGTAATTGTTTCATTCTATTACCATTTTGTTGGCCATATGCTGCTGAACATATTATGTCCATTAAGATGCCCTTTTTTGATCGTAGGATCCCATAAGCTTGAAAATAGTACACTGTTTGCTATTTCCTGGAAGACAGGTCCCAAATTTTAATAATTTTTTTCCAAAAAGCAAGGAAAAAATACAGCTGTAACAGTTAATTCATATTCTTGTTCTTAATAATAAAAGATGGCTTTTCGAGAATCGGTCGCAGTTACAAAAACACAGATGTTATGAGTGTTACATTATACTTATTCATAACTGGAAGTAAATCATACTATTAGGTGACTATTTTACAATCGAAGGGAAATATACGTAAGTGCAGTTTCCATCATGACATACATGCTGAGGCAGCTGAACAAATGACGTTATCTGTTGTGCTTAATGTCAAAAGTGAAAGTGTGTCACTGCTATGGCTATGCAGAGTGATTGAAATACAACAGCATACTTCACTGCTTAGACCAGGGGTCCCCAACCTTTTTTTTCCCCTAAGTCCACATTATAGAATATGTGTTAGATGGCGGGCACCGTTTACTTTTTTCAAGGTGAATTTATAGTTGGATAGAGTTAATAATACATGCACATAAAAGAGATTGGTCGCATTTCTCTTTGTGCTCGTATCTGCTTTGGATGCAATTTCTATTTTGTTAAAAATGAGAAAACGTTCACATAGAATTTTATTGAAAACTAAGGCATTTTTATTGTGATGGCACAGTGGCAGGCACATGTTAAACGATCGGTGGGCGCCATGGTGCCCGCAGGCATAGGTTTGGGAACTCCTTGAGCTACTGAAGAGCATAGCCAGGAGTTAGTTTTATATTACCACCTAAAAAACCTATAAAACTGCTCTAAACTTTTGTGCTTATTTCACAATTAAAATTGCATTTTTCAGAAATCATTTTATGAAAAGTATTTTTGCTTTTTATATAAAAAGGAAAATCCTCTTCATATTTTTTCATTAGCTGAAAAAGTGACTAACGAGGGGCTTTTGTGAAAGCAAAATAGTGTAAAGCAAAATCTCATAAGTTAATACTGATAATTAAAATATTGATCTATTTTGTTTTGCAGAGGAATGTGCCGCTGGCTTTCAATTAACTAAAGAAGGAAACTGTGAACCATGCATGCGAGGTTATTTCAGACCGAAAGGTACTCCATCTTGTGTAAAATGCCCTCCGAGGCGTACAACTCCTTCCATTAGTGCCAAATCAGAAGCTGAGTGTTCTGAAGGTAATCTAAAATATAAGTTTTGAAGATTTTTTTTAAGTTTGAAAATAATGTAACATTTTTATTTTTCGACAGAATCTTCTCTGTTATTTAAGTTCTATATTTCTAACTATTAATGCAAAAACAAAGAAAGATAATAAATGGTTTTTAATTTTGGTAATTAAAATATACAAGCCTAAATTCATTTAGAAGTCAAACAACAAAAATCAGCATTATGTGTTCAAATTTTCACAGGATTCGATGGTTTTACCAAACCATCATCCTCAGCTACAAAAGTGCAAATGAACCAAATAAAGTATAGCGATTAGATAAAAAAAGACTGGGCAGGAGTTAGCTACTGGTGCCATCTGTTGATGAAACAAGAACTAAAACATAATTTCCTTAAAGGCTGAAGGCAAAGATGGATTGGAATTAGGGTCGTTAATTAGAACAGAAAGATTTTTTTTTTTTTTTTGAATGTGAAATGCCTCTAGAAAATCTAATTCACCAATGGAAGACGTTTTTTGAATAATTTTGGCCAATAGTTAGTTTGACCGATGTAAATTAAACCACACTGGCAAATTTTTGTTGTTTGACTTCTGAATTAACACTTGTTTGGCATATTATTGTATTTTAATTATACAAGGCCTAGTTTTTTATCTGATGAAGGATAAAATTTGCATATTTGACAAAGAATCACAAAATGCAAGCTGCTACTTCTTTACAACTCTCTCACACAGTAAGTTTTTGAGAATATGACCATCTTTCATAACTATATAATATTTCTAATGTAATATTTAATAATCAAATAATAGAGTTCAAGCCATTATGAATTTATAATGTAAAACTATAATGTCTCTTCAAATGCTTTATTGCTTTACGTTGGTCTTCATTCGATAAATAAAGTTCATTAAAAGTATTATGCCCCAAAAGGTACATAATTTGGAAATAATTTAACTAATTTAATCTCATTATTAAAAAAATCAAGTAATTAATTTTTTTAAATAATGAGATAGTTGATTAAAGGGAATATTGAATGTAATATTTGTAACATATGCAAAAATTAGTTTAAAGCTCCCAATTCTTATTATAAAATTATTTAGTTAAATAATAGTTAGCTGATTATTGTTTTTAAATGTATGCTTTATGGCATTTTTTTTAAATGCAAGAAACCACACTTCATCATTACACCAAATATTATTTGCAGTTTCAAATAAAAAAAAATGGGGGCATAAAAGGAAATTATCTAATGGAAAAATAAAATATTAAACAGGCACATGCAGAAATCAACAAAGACAAAAAAGAAGCCATGGATAATGAAACTGAACATATGTCTCTGTTGAGAGTACATGTTCAGTTTCATTAGCTACATTTGTGAAATTTCATAAAGTGAAACAAATTTTTTTAATTAAATAAATAAAGTGCATTTGAAAAGCACTCCCAATATAGTCCTAAAATAATTTGAATAAAAAGTGAAGAAATGTAATCCATTGTTACCAAGGTTTAATCCTACGTAAACAGAACCTGATTAAGACAGTCTGGTACTATCTTAGGTGTAGTGTCCTTCTGAGGGCCCCCAAATCCTCATTTCCATGAGAGAAAAAACGGGATTTCGATGGGTCGTAGAATGATTTCGCCATCCTGGTTTGGGCTTTGAGGGCCTATATGCAGTAATCAGGCTTCTAGGGATAAATCTCAGTGAGTGTGAACTTAATTAAAATTGACCAAATGGAGAATAAACACAAATATGCTTAATAATATAGTACAGTCAAAAGTCGTTAATTCGGACACCCATAATCCGGAATGATCTATAATCCGGACCTCAAAGCTAAAAACTTTCTGCGCATGCGCCACGTTGGCACATGCGCACAGGTGTTTTACGCGTGTGCGTAAGACCTTGACTACTGCGCATATGCGTGTGCGCAAGTGCAGAATACGTTTTCGCCTGCGCGTTTTATGTATAACGGACGTTGTAAGCTCTAATTATCTATTTCAGTTAATGTTGCAGATTGCGTTGTTCCTTAATCTTGGAATTGGATCAGGCTTATTATTTTTTGCAGACTGTAAGAGCAATTTTATAAAAGTAAACTTGAACTTTCGATTATGTCAAATAGAATTTCCGATGCTGGAACTTCCAAAGGATCTACAAAACGAAAGTATGTTTCGATGTCCAACAAACAAAAAGTGGAATTGCTGCAAAAAATGGATAAAGACATGAAGAATGTGGACAGAGAGGTTAGTGAAAACGAAAAAATTTCGATTGACAAGTTAGTCGATATTTTCGGCACAGCAATTAACGGGACTTGAATAGCGGAACTTTGTAACTGAACAAGAAATTATGTCTTTTTATAGAATTAAAGAAAAAGTATTATCACATAAAATGAAGCAACTTAAACAACTTACATTGAGAGAAATGTTTAATAAAGTAAACAAATAAATATTAAGCTTTTTTTTTTTGTAAATTTTGATATCCTTTATATCATAATTGCTCTTTATTTCATAAATTACGGTTTCATATTTTTAATTTTATAATTTCTGCATGCCATCTTACGAGATTTAAACTGATGATCTATAATCCGGAAAAATCGATAATCCGGATTCGCCGAAGTCCCGACGAGTCCGGATTAACGACTTATGACTGTATTACAAAGAATTTATAGAAAAATTATAATTTAACAGAAAATATGAAAAAAGGAAAACTAATAAACATATTCTATTTTGTAGATGTGTATACTCACACATCAGAATGGAAAAAAAATAGTAACAGAATTTTTTTTTAATTATTATTTTAGTTTTCTACATAATAAAATAGCAATAAATCAATTTAACCAATTTATTATAGAAAGGGTTCGATAATACAGACACGTATAACGCTGCAGTGCTTACATCCACTACCTTTGAGGTATGAAAAGTGATGCATCAAAAGATAATAACTTTCTAAATACAGGTCAAATATTCGTCCAATTTAAAGATACTATGTATTTCTTATATTGTGATTCACTGATTTTTGTTCTAAAAATGATTAACACTGCTGAGCTACATTGTCAAAAACGGTTCCACCACGCCACCAAATTTTAATTAATTGTAAAATAAAAGTACAAAAAAGTATTTATGCCAAAGATATTGAATTTAGATAAGTTTAAATTGCTGTATTAATTATATGAGTTATGTCGTAGTCATTTTTTTGCAATAAAATGTTGTATGACAGTGCCAACTACGAGTATACTCGTATATAAATCTCCCGAATTGCACCAAATTCTTGTGTAAGTGTTCCACCCCCCTCAAATCCCCAAAGACAGATACCTTCACAGAACATGAAAATACTATGAGTTTGATGTGGCTTGGGAAAAACATTCTACGAGTTAACTCGTAGCTGGGGCCTTAACACAAAATTCAACCAACGAGATAACTCGTAGTTGGCAGCGAACATGTTACCACTACTTACTTTTTAAAGAAAAAATATACAAACTTGCATTCTTTAATGACAAACATGACAAATGACAGTAAGGAAAATCTAGATTTGGGCAAAAAAATATTATGGACGGCACTGTTTGTAATTAATCTTTGAATTACATAGTTGAATTAAAAACGCAGTTCAGAATTTGATCAATTTTATGAAATATTTCAGAATTATGTAGTCCTGGCTTTTATATGGACAGCAGTAGGCACTGCGTGGAGTGTCCGAAAGGAAGTTATATGGATCATGAACAGCAGGAATCGGAGTGCAGACCCTGTCCGCAAGATACAACCACAGCTGCTAATGGATCAACATCAGAATTAGACTGCACAAATCCTTGTCTGGTAGATGGCCAGATGCGCCTTTGCCAAGCGAATGCATTCTGTGTATTTAGAGAAGATATCGATTCCTTTGCTTGTGAATGCCAACCAAAGTATCGTTTAGAAAACAGGACAGGCGAGTGTGTCTGTAAGTATTTATAAAAAGATTCCACACTTTCTAACACTAGTATCTTAAATTTTACTTTCATCCAAATATACATGTTAATTTATAGTTATATACTAATGTACATAGAACTTCCATAAAATGACTATGTGGTTTCAAATGATTTTGATCCTTTGAAATCACCTTAGAAAGTAACGTAATCAGTGATGTCCAAATCTTATTGAATTTATGGTCAGAAATATTAATAATTTTTACAAGTAATCACTACAAGTATTCTGATATTTCTGAGAAAGAAATATAATAATTCTAAATATTAAATTAATGTAGTGATGAATTCGATACATAAAATTAAATATAATTTGCTACAAAAAAACTAGCATATTTGCCAGTTGTATTAAATCTACTCCACCTCCAAGAAAAAAGCTTAAAAGAATCAAGAGACACATTATGCAGAATTATAGAATGATAGCAAATTTAGGAAATATAGCAAAAACAAGCATAAAAGTCTAAATATACTTATGGAGCTGTTTTTCTAAGCTATATTTTACTGAATTAATAAATAAATCTATATCAACAAGCATTATGTAAAAATAGCCTCTATTATGTTACATAAGATTCTGTAAAACTGTTTTTTAAAAAGTATTGCGATTATAAGAGTAGCAGTGTTTTAAAAGCTGTGCATTAAAGCTTTAAATTAAGTGCATATATTAAAGACTACATTATCCACTTTTTAACTATGGAAAAAGTATACTATAATGTAATAAAAAATTTTTAATAAACAAGCCATAAGCTGATTATGTGCCCTTTTGTTTTTAATTTGTTTAAAAGAGCATTAAAATTAAAATTCATTTAAATGTTTTTAAATTCAAGGACTGAGAGTAAACTGCATGTTCATTCTCATTAAGTCATAATTTATTATGAGCTAGGTCTTAACATGATATCACTTACTGCATGTTTGTCATATTTCTTACTGTAATGAAGTTACTGCAAATATTGATTGTATATTTATTAATATTGATGCTATTAAATATTGTTCTTTGTAGTTTATTAATAAAAACTGTTGCCTGAAGGTTACTGATAAAATTTTATTATGAATATTATTTCTTTTAATTAATATGTTTTTTGATCAATAATATGGTTTCTTTTATCAGAATGGATATAAATGACACCGAATAGACTTTTAATACTTAATTTTTTTAATTAATGAAACCAATAGCAATAAAAAATGACTGCAAATGTAATGACTTTGAAAGTTTAACTAAAAATTACATCACTTATAATATTTGATATTCACAATAGTATGGCATTATACTAGTTCTGACTTCTAAAGTTTTATTAAACTTACTGGTATTACACAAATATTTTTTTTCAGCTGTATGTGAAAGTTATTGTGTAAACGGAGGAACCTGTGAAGTGAATCCAGAAACACATGAACCTACCTGCCACTGTGTTACAAATTTCCACGGAAACAGATGTGAAAGCAAAGCTGAGTTTGTATATATTGCGGGTGGAATAGCTGGTGCAGTTATATTCATTATTCTTCTAGTACTTCTCATTTGGATGATATGTGTGAGGTAAGGCAATACTTAAAAATACTACTTGTTTTTTAATGTTTAATTAATGAAATTCCAATTCAAAGTGAAAATTTATTCAGTAGAAACTTCTTATTGTATGAATTATTGAAAATTCATTTGGAAAAAGATTTTAACCTATACAGTACAAAGTCCAACATCCGGACTCGTCGGGACTTCGGCGATTCCGGATTATATATCATCAGTTTAAATCTGGTAAGATGGCATGCAGAAATGATAAAATTTAAAATATGAAACCATAATTTATGAAGTAAAGGACAATTATGATCTAAAGGGTATCAAAATTTACAAAAAAAAAAGCTTAATATTTATTTGATTACGTTATTAAAGATTTCTTTCAATGTAAGTTGTTTAAATTGCTTCGTTTTTTTGTGCTAATACTTTCTCTTTAATTCTAAAAACAGACATAATTTCTCATTTAGTTACAAAGTTCCGCTGTTCAAGTTCTGTAATTGCTGTGTCGAGAATACTGACTAACTTGTCAATCGAAATTTTTTCGTTTTCAATAACCTCTCTGTCACTTTCTTCACTATCGGAAGTGCGCATGGGTAAACGCTTTACGCGCACGCGCATTAAAAGTGCATGCGTAAGTTTGTGGCTTTGAGGTTCAGATTATAGATCATTCTGAATAATGGACGTCCGGATTACGGACTTTGTACTGTATTAATTTATACTATTTTGTGAATTACGGTGGAACCTCAATTATCCGAGATAACGGACTGTAATCGCTTCAAATAATCAAAAACTCTGTTAATTGAAACTAAATTAAAAATCACATGCAGATTGTGAAGTTTTGAATGTTTCTTATGTGTGTTTTTATGAGACTATTTCCTTTTCTTTTTGAAAAGTACATTAATCTTTTTTATGGTAATTTTAAAATTCAATCAAAATTTTATTAGTAGTTAGTTATTTTTGTATAGTTTTCAATTTATAGCGTTTATATATTTTTGAATTTTTGCTGCATTTCATGTGTGCACGATTGGACTTTAAAACAAGTCTTAAAATTTAATATTCCATTTCTACTTAATTTACAGTTTTCATTACGTACTAAGAATTCCTTTACCCAAAAAAAAAAGGGGGAAAAACTTCATAAGAGTATGTTTTTGATTTTTTAAAGAACCCATAATTTAAATGATAAAAATCAGGGACTTTCAACTATCAGAAATTTTTAGTAATATTCCCTAGCAAGTCTAAAGGAGTTTCTAATAGTTGTATTAAAAAAATGAAATAATATATATATATATATATAAATTAAATCCTCCCCTTTTGTATTTTAAATTTTAATTTAAAAAATTTAATCTGAAATTAGTTATTTTCACACGCATTCTTGTTTTTGAATTACATTTCTTTCAACCTATCCTAGAACTAATGATTTATTTTCACAATTTGAACTGCTTTTAACACTGGATTTTCGTTTTGTAAGTCCTTTTTCCACTTTGCATGTTGTTTAAGTATTTAATATATATAATAGTTAAACCAAAATTAGAACATGAAAGGATTAACATCTAACAAGAAATACACAAATAGAACAGCCAAAAAATTTTCAACAAAACCACACTTCTGAATTATATCTAGATGACTGTATTCTTAAACATTTCAAAATACAATTTAAAAGAAAATGCCAATTAAGATAATTTAAATAAAATTAAACAAAGTGTTCTGTTCTAAAATGTAACCAAGTGATTTTTTTTTTTTTTTTTTTTTTGTAAAGATGTTTTTAATGTAATTAATCATCAAGATATAATGTACTCCGATGTGATGCAAAATAATTGAAAAATAAACATTATAATAATTCTTGTGTAAAAAGTGGGAAAAGCATTGCGTAAAAGTAACATCTAAACCAAAGATAAAACATTACAGGTCAAAATTTTTAAGGAAATTAATTTTAGAAAAGTAAAAATTTCTTTAATAAAAGTGCAATAAAACTTCCAACTTAAGGAAAAACGGAAGGCTTATAGCCTGAAATAGAAAAAAAGAGTAAATATAAATAAAAAAAAGAGGCAATATGCCTAAAATTTAAAATAAATGTTTTTACTCTAGAAGTCTTCCTTATGTTTATTTTTCAATTATTTTCTGTCATGTCGAAGCACATTATAACTCTATGATTAATTAAATTAAAAACATCTTTATAAAAAATTCCGAAGTTTAAGAGCACTTTAAATTTTAATTATCTTAATTGCCATTTTTTAAAATTTTTATTTTTAAATGTGTAAATTCACAATCATATAGATTATATTTAATTGAAATTTTTTCAACTGCTCTTTGGAAAAGATCAGGAAATTTTCAACATTTTCTTTTACCAATTTTATTATAATTTATTAAATTTTGTTTCAATCTCTATTCATGTATTTTCTGTTTGAATATCAACCTTTCATGATCTAATTAAAGTATTCTCTCTTGATTGGTTAATTAATTTTATAGCATACTGCATGACTTTAATAGGTTATCTTAGTTTGAAATGTCTCAGCTTTGTTTATATATATAATTAGTTTATATTAAATTTATATATATAATTATTTATATTAAATTTATAATATGTATGCTTTGTTTTTTATTACTTATTCAATACATAATCATATCCATCATTGACTTGCTTATGCCATGAATAACAAAACCATATTTTGTTTGACTAAAATGATATTTGGACTGAATGCTCAGAATTTATCACTTGAAGAACATTAGCCATAAAAAATGCACAAGGGAGAAGAATAATGTACTGAAGAAGATAAAAAATTTACACTAAAAATACTTTTTTTTTATGGAAAACAAAAAGGAGATTGTATTTCAGAATTCACATACACAGCTAATATTTTAAAAAATCTACATGACCTTATTCTTTCTTTATATTTATCTACATTTTTAGCACTGACTAAGTATGCAGATGAATATATATCAGGATGGATTTTTTTCATATTTATCAACATTATTTGTGTTAGTATTATATTCAGAATGTGCTCTTTTTTTTTTTTAATCGATGATATGCTCAGAAAAGAAAGTGATATTATTTTGAATAGCAAATGTCAAACATTTTACGTAGCTTCATATGTTTTCACATTTTTTACAGATCTACAGCACGAAAAAATCTACCTAAAAAAATGCCAGAACCAGCTATGGATCTTAGCAGTTCACAGACAAATTTCTATTATGGGGCTCCAGCACCATATGCTGAAAGTATAGCACCATCGCATCACAGTACTTATGCTCATTATTATGATGACGATGACGATGGCTGGGAAATGCCCAATTTCTACAATGAGACGTATATGAAAGGTAAAAATACTTTAAAAAAACATTAAGTATGTTATACCCCTCTCCTAACTATTGCAATCCTATCTGTGACAATTATTCTGTAGATAAAACTTATTAATTGTGGAACAAATTTAATTTTTAAGTCATTATATAAATTACATATTTTAAGCAGATTTTTATGCCTTGTAGTACTTTTATACTATCAAAGTGTAAAATATTTTTAGTGCAGTTGATCTAGTTCTCCTTATAGCAAATTAAAAGGCAATAATAAATGCTATTAATTTCCATATAAAAGCTGAATTTTATCTCTGCAAAAAATACCTCACATTTGCACAGAAATAGCTGTAATCTATGAAATTCTGGTCCCTTTTATATGCATTGTCATGGACAATTTTTAATAGCTTATGATAATTTTATTTCATTATGTAAATATAACAGAATAATAAATGTATACAGTAATCCCTTGCATTGTCATCAAGACATTGCGCGCATGGCAAAATCGCATTCCACAAAGTTCATTTCGTATGGAAAAAATGGGTTAGGTATAGTTGAGATTAAAAAAGTGCATGTAATTTATACAAACTTAAATATTATTGTAATTAAAAGGGAATATAAAACAAGTGTTCGTTGAAAGGATTTCTACTAATGCTTAAAAAGTAGATATTTAATGCAATTACTTTTTTGAATAACTTTAGGTTAATTTTTTTAACTAAACTTTTGTTTGGGACAATGTCTGAAGCAACTTATTAAATGCTTCACAGTAAGGAGCAAAAATATAAGTCAATATCCATTACAAAATCAGACAATTCTTGCATCTTTTTGAACAATTTATGTAACTTCTTGTAAGTTAAAGGTTCTGTATCTTCTTCACTATCACTACTGGTGGTTAGGACCATCCAATTTTTCATTTGCCATTTCATGATCATCATTCTCGACTAATTCTTTGCTTTCTTCTTCTTCCATATCTCAAAATCATTTGTCACTAATTTCTTTTCTAATTTGTATGATTTCGTGGGCTTCATTTTCAGCTGATGGAAATTCTTCATAACTGTTGACAACTTCTGGCCAGCAGTGCTTTAATTGCAAAGATGTAAACATGCCTGACGTTAAATGTTTTTATGATTCCTCAATATATTTGGTGGAAAGAATAGAAATTTTGCATTTGGATGCAACTTTGTGAGGGCTTTAGAGCTATGCCCTAGAGCACAATCAAGAATTAGGACAACTTTAAGTCTTGGTCTTTAGTAACTAGTAGAATAAATATATATGTTATAATTTCAAAGAATTGAAATTCATATGCATGAATTAAAAAAAAAAGTTCCATGCCATAGATGTTATTTCTTGTAGATTGAAAGTGTTTTATGCATATTTTCTAGCAATTAATGTATAATTATTCGTAGTCAGACAGATGACCAGAGTAAATGAAAAAGATAATGAGTGTAATATTTTCAGCATCAAAGAGACGGCAAAACATCAATATTTAGGAAAGTAAAATTTTTATTTTATTTACAAATATCTATACACACATGCTATAAATAGGAGAAACTAAAACTGTGCATTTAGAAAAGCTGTAACACCATCACCACTGAAATCAGTGTCATTTCTTGTTTAAAAAATGCATAATATTAAGTTAAAGTTATTGCTTCTTTGCCTTTCTTAAATGAGAATTTTTAATATGAATTTAGAAGTATAATGGTTTTGTTTGCACTGTTGTTGTTTGAAATGCATTTAACAGTGACCCGTCAAAATAAGCCATGACTAAACCCCGAAGTAATAGTTGAGCCTAGTTATATAATTATATAAAATTAATAATATTAAAATACATTAGTAAATATTATTAAAAATGATTCTGACAGTTGAAAATATTTATTAAAAATGCATTTTAAAAACTGTATATGGACATATCGGTAGAAATTTTAAATGGGGTTTGGCAATTCTCTATAAGCTTAAAGGGTTCCGTTCCTTACCACATTCTTTACAAAATTATATTTCATAGGTTTGTTTCATCTGGGACACTGCATAAATAAAAGTGCAAGAACTGAATTTGGCAGAAGCTTATGTAAATAATGAAAATGTGCGTGTTTATGTAAAAATGTTGTTAGCGTCGAGTTTTGTACCAGTACATGATGTTATCAGAGTATTTGAAGAATTAACTGAAAATTGCCCAAACAAACTAGACTCCATTATCGATTACTGGGAAGATACATATATAGGATGAAAAAGATGCAACCGCCAAACACAACCACGATTTTCAATCTATATGTGGAATGTTCATGAGCACATTGTCAATACAGCATTAAAGCCTGTAGATTACCATCATCCATCTCTCTACAAACTCATTCATCATTTCTGAAAATAGCAATATATGGTGAAAATCTGCTCTACATGCCTTGCTGCAGGTATTCGCAACACAGACGCTAGCAAAACTAAGTATGCACAACCTGAATCGACGCCTGGAAGTATTAGTGGGAAATTATGCAAATATGCACTTTCCTTCTTTGTTTCACAGAATCTTGTAATTTTTGTAAAGAATATGGTAAGAAACTGAAACCTTTTAAAGACCTTGTAGAGAATTAGCAAATTGCATTTAGAATTTCTATTAATATATCCATATAAAATTTTTAAAATGTGTTTTTTAATAAATATTTTTAACTGTCAAAATTCATTTTTTTTAAATTATTAATTTTGTACAATTATAAAACTAAACAAAACTTTCTTGACCGTGGACCCCGGGTGCATGAGCATATGCCCTGGACAAGTGGTCAGTTTGTCACAAGATTCCGGTGTTTAGCCCTCAAACGAACTTGGTACTCATTTTATTGACCCACTCAAGGAATGAAGGGCTGAGTCGACCTTGCCCAGCCCGGGGATTGAACCCCGGACCACTGGACATTGGGCCTAATTATATAACTAGGTTTAGCTATTATTTTGGGGGTATTTGTCAAAGTTATATTCTTGGGACTGTTTAGTTGTGGGCTATTTTGACGGGGTACAGCATTTAACAATTTTTTTAATGTTTTTTTATTATAAAAATTGCTCTGAACTGCTTTGTATAAAAATTTCACAGCTTACTATGAATAAGTTCTTAAAAGTATTTTTTAAATCTTTATTAACTGCTATATGATACTTCTAAATAAAGTTGTAAAATGCAAACAAAATAAAAGCATGATGTCTGTTAAAAAAACTTTTTTTACACCTCTTTGGTGTTTAAAATATCATAACCTCTGTGAAACTAGTGAATGAATTGCATCTTTTACTTTAATACAGTCAAAAGTCGTTAATTCGGACACCCATAATCCGGACCTCGAAGCTAAAAACTTTCTGCGCATGCGCCGCGTTGACACATGCGCATAGGCGTTTACGCGTGCGCGTAAGACCTCTTATGACTGTGCATTTGCGTGTGCGCAAGCGCAGAATACGTTTTCGCGTGCGCGTTTTATGTATAACGGACGGTATAAGCTAAAATTATCTAATTATCTATTTCAGTTAATGTTGATGATTGCGTTGTTCCGTAATTTTCGAATTGGATCCGGCTTATTATTTTTTGCAGACTGTAAGAGCAATACTATAAAAGTAACTTGAACTTTCGATTATGTCAAATAGAATTTCCGAATCTGGAGCTCCCAAAGGATCGTACATAACGAAAGAATGCTTCGATGTCCATCAAACAAAAAGAGGAATTGCTGCAAAAAATGGATAAAGACATGAAGAATGTGACAGAGAGGTTAGTGAAAACTAAAAAATTTCGATTGACAAGTTAGTCGGTATTCTCGGCACAGCAATTAACGGGACTTGAACGGCGGAACTTTGTAACTGAACAAGAAATTATGTCTGTTTATAGAATTAAAGAGAAAGTATTATCACATAAAACGAAGCAACTTAAACAACTTACATTGAAAGAAATGTTTAATAAACATTAAGCTTTTTTTATAAATTTTGATACCCTTTAGATCATAATTGTTCTTTATTTCATAAATTACGGTTTCATATTTTTAATTTTAGAATTTCTGCATGCCATCTTACGCGATTTAAACTGATGATCTATAATCCGGAAGTGCCGAAGTCCCGACGAGTCTGGTTTAAAGACTTTTGACTGTAATACTAATTTTGTAGATTTGGAAAAATTGCTTCCTTTGCATAAAATCTCTATTTGTAAGAGACTCTTCAAGGGCATGTTAAAAACTCAGTTTTATGTTCTTGTAATTTGACTTTTTCACTTTTAGAATTTAATAAGGGTTTGATTTAATACTTCAAATTGTACATTTTATATATCACATTTATGTATAATCCTTGGAGAATATTGTGCTTTATATAAAACTATAAAAAGACTCATACACTTTCTACTTTGGTAAAAAGTATTTAAATCCCTTTTATAAAAACTGCATAGAAATAAATGCACTCTGGCAGCTGGGTTCTGTAGTCAAACCTTAAAAGGTCATTGTTCTCTAGCCCTTTCATATCGCAGGGGCCAATTAGCATACACAGCTTCTATCATAGAAACATATAATTAAAAACTAATAATTCTACAGCAAAATGTAAGAAACAAAAACACCTAATAATTCTGGATGTGCAAGAAGTTTATGACCCTAAACTTCGAGAGTCCAAGGAAGCTGGCTTAAACTGGTTGACTCGATCTTTTTCTATGAAATTAAACTTTGTAATTGAATAAATCTGAAGCTATCATAATAAGAATCACAGATTTATACAATAAATTTAAATATTTATTTTTCTTATTATAGACAGCTTACATCATGGTAAAGGCAATAGTCTAGCACGCAGCAATGCATCCATCTATGGAAACAAGGAGGATTTGTACGATAGATTAAGGCGGCATCAATATCAGGGCAAAAAAGGTAAGAATTTCTTCTGTAATAAATTGTGTTTAATTTATAATTTGGTTCCTCTATTCATTAACATAATCATGATCAGACTAGCTGAACGATGATTTACAAATTTTTAGTATTCATATTTATAGTGTTAAAAACGATATAGCTGGATAAATCAAAATTGTAGACGATGAAAGAAAATCTGAAGTTTTTATTATGAAATGTTGGGTCAATTTTGAGCACAACTCTATTTGTAAATTTTATATAAATTTCATGATGAAGAATAATTAATTTTGACTGCAGTGCTGTGAAATATAAACTGACAACAGAAAATAAAAGAATGCAGTTTCTTGACTAAGGACATCAATAGCCGGGTTAAGTTTTTTATTTTAGCAGGTTTCATTTACCAATGAAGACATAATATACAGTAGAGTCCCGCAAACTCGACATAACGTTGACCGAGAGACTGTCGAGTTTTACAGAATAAGGAGTGGGTTTTCCAAACATCTTTTAATATTTAAACCTTTGATGCCTGCAATATTATTTTTATAATGTTTTAACTAAAAAACTTTAGAAATCTAATATTGTGATCCTAGAGACAAATGATATATCGGTTTAAAAAAAAAAAAAAAAAAAATCTACTCTTGCCCATTGATCTGTGGATGGTGGTTGCACTGTGAAGACTTTGAAACTTATTGAGGCAATAATTATATATAAATTTTTTACATTATTTTACAAATTAAATTGTCAGAAAAATATTTACTGTGTGTAATATTTCCTCTGTTTGGCCTAGATAGAGAGATATCTGAAAGGTTCCTAAAGATATCTTTAGAACTTTCAGATATCTTTAAATATATCTGTTCCTTAGAGATATCTGAAAGGTTCCTAAAAAGTTGTAAAAAGTTGTCGAGTTACATGGAATGTTGAGTTTGTGGGGACTCTACCGTATTACTTAAAATAGAGTATCTCAAAAAATCTCATTAAACTTAAATCAGACATTGAATAAATGTAACAGAATCACCATTAAGTTATAGACCAATAAATAACAGTTCAGAGCAAGCATTTTTTATACATGTAGTTAAATTTTTCACATGAAATCCAATTATCAATTTTTATCTGATTATTATTGTATATAAGTGACTATGATAGTATTATAGGATATTAACCCTCTCAGCAGCAACCCATTTAAAGCTACTCATGAAATGCTATATTTACATAAAACTATTACCTAGCACTTATTACATTTACACATTTGTATATATTTTCAAATTCTATATTAGATTGCATAGTATTATATTGTTACTATTTCTATACTACTTATCGAGTTCATTTGTACAATATTGTGCTTTTGTAATCTACAGATGTGGTGAAAATTTTCTAGATCATTAAAAAACATTTGAGCAAAATATTTTAAGAAAGAAGGTAATGTATACAAATTATGACGAAGCATCAAGAAACCATGCAGCTCAGAGGGTTAAATATTTCAATAGATGTATAATGTAATACATGTGCATACATTTAATTTTAAAATTAAATACTGTTTTAATACTTTTACAGATAGTGACAGTGAAGATCAAGGCTAATAATTTATGTTATAAATATATGAACTTAAGTAACAACATTTAATACCATATTTTCTCCAAGCAAGAGACTGGCCACAGAAATGAACAGCTCAAGCACACTGCCAAAGTGACTTGGAACTTGGGTGTAAAGAAATACTAGTATAGGGAACTAAAAATGATGTATTTTTTGTAAAGATAGAAATATTTTTATATACATAATTTTCTATTTATTTCAATATTTATTTGCCAGTTTGAAATGCCTGCCATTTGAATGAATTTGCCTTTTGTTTTTATAACCCAGATAATTTAGTTAAATTTGACTAGTTCAAAATAGTGTTTGTAAACTGCTCTTGTAAACACAGTGATGATTATTTAAGATATGTGTTTACAGGAAATGCAGTTTACAAAAATGTGATTTAATATCATTTACTATTTATTGTATATAGTTAATCATCATCATCATCTCATCAGTTTATCATCCACAGGAGGACTTATTAAAGGCATGATTTTCATTTACAGGCAATGGTTATTTTTGAAATACAATTTTATTTCTGTCTTAAGTTTTATTGGTGAACTTAATATTTTTAGAATCAAGTTAATTTAAGAAAAGCAGAACAGAAAATTAATTCTGAAGACAAACGTTAAGAAAGATGCTCAAATTTTAAGATATTTAGTTAACATCAGCTTTTAGAGTGATTACACAATTAAAGCTAGTCATTATATGCTTCTGTACCCAAAGTTCAGTTTCATATCCTCATACTTATATAACCAGATGTTTATTAATTTCTTTTGTAATTAAATGTTCAACAATTTGAAATACTGTTATAAATAGAAGGCTGTATTATGTTAATTGGCAATTATTCAATTTGTGGGATATTCATAAAATAAAATGTTTATAACTGATTTGTTTTGGGTGTATAATTTTTACATTCATCTAATTTTAACAGTAATGTAAGTTTTTCATTATTTTATTGTAACTTTAAAATATGTACAACAGATCTGGTATAGCTCTATAAAATTTATACTAAGTGTGGCAATAAGAAATATTTGTTAAGCATAACCTTATCTACACCTGAAGGAAATGTCCACACATCCAGATATCTAGGCAAAACTTGGATATATTTAAAAAGAAAACTAGTTAAGTTTTTTAAGGTTTATTTTAATCTAAATCTGGAATTTTAGGTTTCGCTTTGAAACCTGTATGATATTTTGAATCTTTCATTCTTGACAAAGCACTTGAAAAATCTTCCATACTTATAGGGCGTAGTGCGTCATGGTACACTTCTGAATCCGATGGACTGTAAAGCAAAATATAGTTATATTATACATCATTCAATGTATACTAAATTTAAAGAGAAAATGATTAATTTCCTCTTTAAATTTCTGTTTATTTTTGCTAATGAAAAAGAAACATCAGTAAATACAATAAAGTGTAGTAATAGGTAATAAAGAGTTGCATAACAGTTTTAACTTTATTACAATAATAAGTAATCAAATAAATTTTGAAAAATTATTGAAGATAAAGGCAAGAAAATTAAAATATTAAAAAGCTTGAGAATTAGTATATCTATAACTTACACTAATATTTATTATTTTTATAGTTAATTTGATCGAACTATTAAGAATTTAAGGTCCCCCCCCCATTTTAAAACTATAAACACTTTGTGTATTATTTTCTAAGTATAAAAAATCTACAATTAAAAATTACTATAAAAGTTGTGGCATTATGATTTAAAACAGTTACATTTATCAAATATAAAAGTTGACAAGTTTAACTTGCACTGTATACAGGGACATGCATTGACCTTCTTGCCTCAAATGAAAAAAGTACCTAATATCAATTTAAAAATTCTTATAAGTCCAGATAATTATCCAATTAATATTTACCTGTCACCTAATGCTTCTGCTTTAATTTCTTCTTTACAATAATCTCTTACTCTGTACAATGCAGCATTACGACATAACTCTCTGAGATCACTTCCAGAGAATCCATCCGTCAACATGGCTATTTCATCCACATTTACTTCATCTGAAACCTATTAAAACACACATAGTTGATACAATATGAATAAATATAAATCATAATACACATATATATAGAGAGAGAAAGATATAGAGAGTGAATGTCTATCTGTGACGAAAATTCGAATATATAAATAATAGAAGCAACTGACACTCAGCTTACCATTTCATTTTCTAACACAAGCTTCAAAATTCCACTCCTTTGCTTCTGGTTCTGCAAATATTATACACAATGGATATATATTATAAATAAGAATTAACATTTGGATAAATTATATCTTATATGCAATTTTTTGAATTAAACAATGCTAACTAGAGAAAAACAATTTTATCTTAAAATCTACAAAATTACTTCCACAAAACAAGAATAATTTTAGAAGTAGACATATCATGTCACTTCAGTTTCCTGATTGTTTTGAGAAACCTAAATAATTACACTCCCCTTCCCTACAAATTAACTGAAATAAAAAAAAGCAAACTTGCATGTTATGCTATAAAAGTTACAGTAACAGCATACATTATTTCAAAAATAATAAACAATCCACAGCTTACAAAAAACATTTACCTTTCATGAAAACCACTATTTTTTCATTAAAAACTGTATTAAGAGCAAAAATTTATAAGATATTTATTTTAACGAAAACTTAAAATTGAAGGGCTAGCAGCAAGATGAGCCCTGCTCCACATTTTAAAATTTGCAAAAATTTTTTTAAAAATTTCAAAAATTCATTTTTTAACTTATATTTTAAATGTTTGACCTCATTAAAAGTGCTAATATATAAATATATTTTTGCTCCTCATTTCTTGTTGCTTGTAAAATAAATTATGAAAGGAATAGTACCTATAAAGCATAAAACTAGCAAACAGAAGTTTTACTGATTCACCGTGTTGCTAGTGTTCATTTCCGACTCTTCGTGGAGGTATAGATATTTAGAAAGTACCACACAATTTCACATTCATGCAAAACTTATGCTTAAATGCCAATACATTTTTTATAGAATGTAAACCAATAAATGTTATAAAATTCATAATTAGAATTGTATTTCATATAGCAACTAAAATTAAATAATATTTTGCACCAATGATGTGCTGCACTTTATTTATTTTAATATTTATGGTTACTATACTAATACAAAATTATAAGGATATATATAACCATGGTTACAACAGAAAACCTGCTTAAAGTAATTTTATACACATAAATTGAAAAAAAGGTACAACTAGAATTCAGCTCTTTTAAAAAATGGGGGGGGGAGAAAAAGAGGTGAGATCATATCACACAGAATACAAATTTATGAGACAAAAATTTTTAATACCAAATCAATTAAATTATGCTTCATAAAAGTAGCATTATTACTAAATTAAATATAACAGCTGACTTACACTTTACTAAACATTAGATGTGGCAACTCTGTACTAGGTTTCTGTGAAATTTATACATTAACATTTCTGAACCCATGATTGGAAAGCCATCAGCATTTAGACATGCCAAGTGGGAACACATCATACATTTTATCATGCAAATGAAGAAAAATGCTGATGCGTAAATTTACCAGAAATGTGAATGAATTTTGTGCTAAATTGAGAAGAGAAGCACAAGGGAAAAAAGCTTGGATTTGCTCAAGATGCAGAGGTTTCTGCCTCCAAGACAATGCTGCTGTAGCATTGGCAATTCTGTCTAAAGTTAATGGGCAGGATTAGAACACCATAACTGATAAACTTGAAATAAGAAAAAAACGAAATGTTTTTGTTCTGCATGGGAACACTATTTCAAAAAGAACTCCATATTGACTTTAATTCACTTTATAATACATGATTCAGGTTAATGAACTATTTATAAAATGATTCTTATGTAAAATATGTTATAAAATTTATAATATCCAATTAATTAATGTTATTTGGCTAATGTCATAAAAGTGTAATTTAAGACTTGGGGGAAAAAAAAAAAACCTGTTGGTTTGGTTTGGTTTATTTTATTATGGCAAAGCCTCAAGAGCCATCTGGATAAGAGGAGGGATGCCTTTGTGGAGGACTTTCTAAAGGAAACTAGCTTGTATACACATTACACATGGGAAAAACCATGAAAATGCACCCATGCAGCCAGTTCTTTCACAGGATTTGAGATTCAGACCGAGCTACCAGTGTTAGTGATTTTACTACTCGGCCGCTGGTGGGCCCTGTTCAAAGAAGAAGAATTTATTTATTAAAGCACTTTTAAATGTGATAAATGTAAAAATTAATAATTATTGTATATATTACTGTGTGGATAAACTTGGTAATATATGATTAAAACAAAATTAAATACAAACATTAACTGATTGAATTATAAGGTGTTTCTCCCACCTTCTTAGCCAGCCTTTGTGGTGTGGTGGTCTGCAGTTCGATTCCTGGCAAAGGCATTGTTATTTTTTCATCCTTCCTGCTTCTAAATAACATAATGTCTCTACAACTTATGATGAAAATCAATAGGGGTGAGGGACTGGAAGTAGCACAATTAAGTTTCATTAATTGCTCGCAAAAGCATGGAAAAAGGTTCTCTTCGAGTGAGGAAATTAAAAAATGCTACAGCTGCAGTGTTAAAATGTGTATCGCAAAACAATCTAATTAACATTTTTGAATCATTCATGAAACACTATAAAATATAGAATTCAATATGAAGGACTCTATTTTGAAAAGCAGAAAGAAAAAATACAATACACAGCCTGCTTGATTTATTTGAGTTTGAATAAAAAAAGATTAATTTTAAAAACATTTTAATCCTATGTATTCACAGGATCATAAATCTTAACTGCTGAGCTTAATACGTGTATATATATATATATATATATATATATATAATATATATAATATATATATATACAATAGAAAATTCTTAATATATATATATATATTTTGCGAGCATCCTTTTAAAATATTTTGTGCGTTAAAATTTATTAATTTTTTCTCACCCTTTTGATTTTGAAGTTATCTCGTTTTGTAATTTTTACATTTAGTTTTTACGTGATAGCTTTTACTTCTTTAGTATTGTTTGATGTTGTTACATGATGTTACATTTTTGCTCAGGAACTACAGTTTTATTTTAGCATTAGCTTTTAAACATTCTTTTTGTTTAAAAAAATTTTGCAGCTCAATGCACAAAATTCTTGACCACTAAGGTCTCTCTAGTTCATGTTACCTTTCTACTTATATATATATATATAAAAATTTTCTATGCAGATTTTTAAGACAGGAGACTGAAATTACCATTTAAAATTCTAATTTGAATTCTGACTAATTTTTTTTTTTTTCCCCACATTTATGGTTTTAATTGATTTTGTGTTCCTTGGAGATGGTATATGGAAAGTTTTCTTATTATAAATTATGAATTTATTTTTAATATGTATATATATAATTATAACAAAATTCTTTTGAAAACAAATTATAAACATGCCTAGTATTTTTGTGCATTAAGCCGCAGAAAAATTATCATTAAAGACATAAAGTAAGAAATTTAGAACTAATATTTGACACAAGCCAGAAATTGAAATTCATGATTAATAAATTTCATATAATCATATAAATGCAACAAAGAATTTAAGAATGTTAAAACATTTCAAACAAGCAAAACCCCACTTTAAAAAATTAATGAAATTTAAAGAAATATGAACAAAAACAGAAGAGAAATTTAATCAACCTCAATACCACTTTATCAGAGGGGAGGGACATTGAAATTAATTGAAATCTTTCTTCTACAAATATATATATACACAAAACAGCACAGGAATTTTAACAATGGCAGCAATTATATCTTACCGGAAGACCAATGTGAAACATTGAAGGCATTCGACGCAAAATAGCTCTATCAACATCCTGAGGTCTATTTGTAGCTCCCATGACAATGACTTGACACTCTGGATCTGTGATGAGACCATCCCATAAGCTCATAAACTGTGCTTTCATCATAGCAGTCGCTTCATGATCATACGTATCTCGTGAACGAAGAAATGAATCTGACAAAATAAATTTTCAATTTTAAGCAGAAATAATTACATAAAGCATGCATTATTTAGAACATATGGGTGAACAATTAAAGGAAATGATTCAATAAAAGCGAAAAAAAAAATTAATATAAATAATATATATGAAGCAGTATTTTCATAGAAAAAAGCAGCCTAACTTATTTTATATTCAAGCTACAAAATGAAATTACTTCCAAGCCTTTGAAAATTTCTTCGTGAGCTTGTATATTTAAACTTTTAATAAGATACATTTTGATGACCTCCGAGATCATGTGACTTATGTACAGCTAATGCAAATAAGCAATATAGATGACCTCAGAGATCACATGACTTATGTATAGCTAATATAAACAAACCATTCCTCCTCTTCTTCTCTTGTGGAATGCATCTTATTCAAATCGAAGTTAAAATAACATTGCAAATAATGATTATTCGAGGTGCTAAGGCAATAAGAATCAGCAAATTATTCATAAATTTGCAAGACTAGCTTCGAAGGTTAAATTATAGAACCTTCTTCTTTAACTGCAGAAGTACACATGATGAAAGAGAAACTTGTACTCAGGTGAATAACAATGAAAGGAAGGAATTCAAGCTGATGCCATCTACTGGAAGAAAATGAGGGGGGGAAAAAACTATTAAATAATTTTCTTAAAAGGTGAGAGTAAAGACGAACTGGAATTGGGATCTTTATCTAGAATTGAAAGATTTTTAAGAATCTGAAATGCCTCTAGAAAATCTAATTTGCTAACAGAAGATGTTTTTTGAATAGTTTTGATTGTGGAAAAATAGAAAATGTGATTTTTCTGACCATCAGTGTTGAACAGAGCATTTACATGCTTCTTTTCACCTAACATATGCCCCATACCCCTTAGTGGGAAATTTTAAGGCTGTCCTGGGTTGATCAATATAAATTAAACTACACTGGCAAGGAATCCAGTATATACCCCAGAATTCATAACCAGAATGAGGTTTTCATGTATGGAACACTGAAATTTTTTGACAGAAGAAAAAGTGACCTGAAAATAGACTTTCTGTAAAATGTGTGCAAATTTATAGCTAATTGATGGACAGAAAGGCCTAACATGTGCCTCATGTTCTTTATAGCAAAATTTTAAAGCTCTCTTAGTTTGACCAATGTAAATTAAACAACACTGGCAAGGAATCCTGTAAATGCACCAAGAATTTATATCCAGAATGAGGTTCTTAAGTATGGAACTTGGAATTTTATTGATAGGAGAATAAATTACCCAAAAGTTAAATTTCTGTAAAATACACACAATTTTATAGCTAATTGATGGAAAGACAGGAATGACAACAGAATTCTTGTAATCTTCTAAAACAAGAATGTGCTTTTTGGTGTGCTGAGACGAGAATTTTTTAACTGCTTGGTTAATACTGTTGGGTGAAAAGCCTCTGTCAACAGTGGCAGTTTTTAAGTAGTTTAGTTCTTGACCAAAAGCCGAATTGGAGAAACAAACTTGAAATGCTTAGAAAAAGAAGGAATTAAAATGCAACTAACTTCTGTTTAGTTGAATGACATGATTTGAACTGTGGTGTAAGGCAAACAGATGAAGGTTTTTGGATATGTTGTGTGTGACCAATATGTCAAGGAGCAGAAGGAAATTTGATATCTCAAGTTTAAAAGTAAATAACAGGATTAATGGAATTCATTATTGAAAGAACTTTTTTTCATCAATAGATGGCACCAGCAGCTTGACTTCTAATCCCTAACTACTATTGCCTGAGTTCATGCTTATTTTTCATCATTTGCACTTATGCAGCTGAAGAAGCATGTTCTATATTTTAACTTCAAAACTAGTCCTGCACATTTATATGAACATTCTGCAGATTCTTCTTGTCTTAGCATCTCTAATAACCTTAATTTAGAGTTTAGAAACATAAAAATATTTAATTTATTCCAGGCACAGATGCAAAAAGTATAGAAATTCTTATTTATACTTTAACTGCTTTCAAAAACTGTGTTAGACAAAATAAAATTATTCATTCTCACATATTAAAGCATTAATAACTTAAACACTGAATGCAAAAATAGAAATTAAATACCAGTCTGGCTGAAAGCATAAACAGAGCTGATTATATGTTTGTTTTATCCACCCATTTTATTTTCAATGTAAAACCTGATATTATGGAGACTGCAGAATGAATAAAGAAGTTTAAAACTTACAAAAGAGGCTTTCAGCAATAAAGTGAACAACACTTTATAGATTTTTGAAAAAATGCTCATCACATGAACCAATTTCTGGCAAATTTTATTATGTGACATAGTTGTTTTTTTAAAAAAAAAATTAAACAATAAGCATACTTTTAAAGCACACTGCAGATGATTCAGAAGTTTGACGTAATAAGAAACACACAGTAAAAATCTCTGCACTAAATAAATTTTGCAATAAAGTTTTAAAAGGGAAAAACTGATAATGAAACCGAACGATGTGGCAATGGAATACAAAATAAAATATCTGAAGAAACTTAAGTAAAGAAAATCCAAATCATGATGAAAATGAAAAGAGCTGATAATTCATAATTGATATAAATGATTTTAGATATCAAATTTTTAATGATGATTATCTGCTCAAGGTCTGGATCATATTACCAGTTCAAGATGAACACAGCTTCAAGAAAGATGAAACAATTGTTATGATAATGATCCACTGATATAAACCTTGAAATGCTCAGAAACAGCTATGAAGCAGAACATAGCAGCAAGACCTTAACTGCCTTCAAACATTAAACATCTTTGCCTAAAACAGAATTCATGATATAGATATAAGTTCATAAATTTTACATTGCCTATTAAATTATTTTAACTGGAATAATTCCAATGCATTCAGATGTCAGTCTTCTATTAGATATATAACTATAATTAAAAATAATTAAAATATATTAGTATAATAAAATTATTAATTATTGCCTCATACAAGCAAATACTGCAACCAGAATCATTCTGATCATAATTCATCTCACTGTCTACCAAACACAGCATCATTTAAATACCTAATAATCATAATAGGTTTCAAAATCTGATTAAAACTCATTACACATAAGCCAAAGACAATGCATTCAGAATCAAGAAACAGCTTACTATTTTCTTAGATAGATGAAAATGAAACCTACAGATGAGATTGAACAGCATTTCAAGAAAACAAAATTCACTGAAATTATAAATTACTTAATGCATGAACTATAGTTATGTAATAACCTCAGTAATGTAATTAATCAATTAAGTATTTTAATGCAAATAAATAACACATTTTACAAGCAAAGAAAAATATTAGCATAAAACTTTTTTTTTTTTTTTTAACCACATCTAAGGTTTACGTATTGATGGATATAAATAATCTGACTTGCTGTAGTACATGCACTCGAGTGAATACAATGTCACATATTTTCTTAGCTGCTTGCAGCCAAAGGTATGCAAGACAGTCGCATGATTGATCCAATGACAAAGACTTGAAACAACAAAAATGATAATTTGAGAAAATCCACAGAGAAAATTTGATAATGGAGAAAACTACAATAATAGAACTGAATTATTAACTGCAGTTAAAAAATTCTCATCTCAACACACCAAAAGGCACACTCTTGTTTTAGGAGATTATAAAAATTCTGTTGTTAGTCCCTTCTTTCCATCAATTAGCTATAAAGTTGCCCGTATTTTGCAGAAATTTCACTTTCGGGTCGTTTATTCTCCCATCAATAAAATTCCGAGTTCCATACTCAAGGACCCCATTCCAGAAATGAATTCCTGGGGTATTTACAGGATTTCTTGCCAGTGTGGTTTAATTTACATTGGCCAAACTAAGAGAGCCTTAAAATTTTGCGTTAAGGAACATGAGGCATATTTTAGAAAAAAGGAAACACAGAAGTCTTTTGTTGCCCAAAATTGTTGGTCCGAAAACTACACTTTCAATTTTTCTGCTGCCAAAATTATTCAAAAAACATTTTCCATTAATGATATATTTAATGGTGAACTGGATTTTCTAGAGCCATTTCACATTAAAAAAAAAAAAAAAAAAATCTTTCTGTTCTAGTTAACAACCCTAATTCCAATTCATCTTTGCTTTCAGCCTTTAAAGAAATTACGTTTTAGTTCTGGTTTCATCAACAGATGGCGCCAGTAGCTTATCTCCTGTCCAGGCTTTTTATCGTATCATTACGCTTTGTTGTTTGACTTCTAAATTAATATTTGTTCAGCGTGTTATTGTATCTTAACCTATTTCATGTTAACATCTAAAAGATAAAAAATTAACTAAAACTGGTAGATTGCATACTACATAATTACTGGAAACACTGTAAGAAGATTTTGGGAGAAATTTATAGTAACAGAAGCTAACTGCTATGTTGGAGGGCTCCGTTCGAATCTCAGAGAAGGCATGGATGTTTGCGAATGTATAGTGTCTGTGTGGCATGGGGACACTCTACATATGAGGCGAGCCAAAAGTCCTCTTTAGAGGTTAATGGTACAGGGGTAGTGTACCTTTGAGGTTCTCTGCATAAAAATTGGAGGCGGAACTGAGCAAAGTCACATGTAACACATATGAGCATACTGTCAAATATGTGGTGCTCCAGGTCCTTGCCAATGACCGGCACAATCTTGCACTCCTTGCCATGATGATGATGAATTTTGAAGGCTTGTTCTGATGTTACTGTCACACAAGTGAGGAAACTCACATCAACAACACTAATTGCTATGTAAATCAGATTATGAATGCTGAATGCTGAAAAGTCTTCCAATTTCCACAAAATTTGAAAAGAACTGGAAAAATATTAACAGAGAGAAATATTCTTTCTACAATTTTTAGAGAATTTACTTCAAGCAGAAGTTCAATGTAAATTATTTCCCATGTGTTTATGACATGAACTCAATGAATGAAATGCAAAGCAAGTGGCTAATTTTCTCAGGAACTATGTTTTTAAACCAGATTAAGGAAATAAAATTATACTTGGGGAAGTTAGCATAGTCTGTATCGAGTGAAAAATAGAATGAATTATACGAGTTTCAAATAGCTAAAAGGAGAGCATTAAGAAGAAGAAACAAAGCGTGTTCAATAACTTAGCATTTTTTCTAAACTGCTTGCACTAAAAAACAAGTTTCTGTCTAATGTTATTTACTGCCAATATTCAAGCCAAGTATTTAAATTACGGAAAGCATACATATTTACAGTATTTAAGCATACAATAACTAAAAATACTGCAAGACTATTTTTTTTTTTTTAATTTCAAATACAGTGTATCTGAAATTTTAAATTATGATATTAATCCCTTAAATCCTCCAAGATACTTTAGCCCATAAAGTAAATGATACTTTATGAAATATGACAGGTTTCATTTTTTCATAACTAAAATTAGAAGTATGAAGAATATGATAAAAGTAAATATATCTCATAATGCACTTTTAATAAGTTTTATTTATATTATTAAGTATGCATATTTTCAAGCAATAACATAAAAAGGGAATAATGTAAAAAAAAAAAAGGAAAATGTAGAATATAAAGAATGATTACATACATACATACACACACACACACAAGGTTTTTGAAGTTCAGTCACTTTTAAACTTTTGGGGGGAATGTAAGTTAACATTTTATTAAGTATACATATTTTCAAACAATAATATAAAAAGGGGGATATACAATATAGAAAAGAATGAATACATACACACATACTCATATTACCAAAAAACGTTTTTGAAGTTCATACTTTTAAAAAATTAAAACTTAAAATTAAAATAGTATCAGTGGAAATCGGTAACTTATTTCAAGTAGATGCCATCTTTAATGTAGCTATCAAACTGAAACACAGCTGAATCTGAATTTCAAAGATTCAATATAATTTAAACAATATATTGAAAGAGATTTTAATCATCATGTTTTAAGAAAATGTTAAATGCTCTTCTTTTAACACAATTTTATTAGGAATTTTTTTAAAAGCACGACAGCATCAGAGAATAAAATCTGTAAAATTTCATCCTCCATTTTCAATGCCAAATCCACTACTGCTTTCATTATTGTACACAGAAATTCCTTACTCAGCATTCAAAACCCGTTTGCATACATTTATCCACATGTTAAGTTAAAACCCATTTGCATACATTTATCAACAATGTTAAGGATGGTTAATAAATTGGCACACTTTCAGGAAAAACTGCTTGATAAAACTGAAAAGCAAAAAAGAGAATTTTTTCAACAGTTTAACAAACTGATATAAAATAATTGTTGAACAAATTTATTTTGCTTAGTTTTTGTTAGAGAAATGGAAAAAAAAAAATCTTAAAGAAAATCATTAAATCAGAATTTGTAGTATGTTATTAATCATGTAGTTATATTAAAAAAAGTATACTACGATGAAGCAGTAAATATTTTCTAATGAAAAAATTTCTTAATGAAAATCATTAAATCAGAATTTGACTGTAGTATGTTATTCATCATGTAGTTATTAAAAAAAGTACGATGAAGAAGTAAATATTTTCTATATACAGACATACTGCCTATTTATTTTCATATTCCATATAAATTGTTTAGGAATAAAAATTGAAAATAAGAATAAAAATGTTCAAAATGCTTACCAATTTCATCAATAAAAATTATACAAGGTTGTATTTTAAGAGCCTGAAATAAAATATCAATAATTAGTCTAAAATATCTAAATTATAAATTTTATTTACAATTTTTCATAATAACAGATTATTACAGAGGTTTTCCTCATTATGAAACTGAATAATTCAAAGAGAATTTTCTTAGAACAAAACTGCATAAAGTGAAAAGGTAATTATAAATATATACAAGAAAAGGTTTAACATTTTCCTGTATCACAAGAATAGAAATTAAATTATATGCAGTATTTTTAACTCTAAAATAACACAAAAATAATGCTATTAATATAATTATAGACAAATTTTAATTTTTCTTAACAGGCATTTTTCAATAAGAGATATTCGACTCTAGCTCATGATTAAGCTTAGTTGAAGTAAGGGTCAATATCTATTATTACAAACTATTCTGAAGAAGCAAACATTATATGAGGTTTACATTTTTATTTTAATCACATTTCCTTTTCTTATTTCGCACTTTTTAGCCCAAAGGGTGTTGGCAGAGAAGAGCTATTTATATCAAAATCGCATTTTAGGGCGATTCATTTTTCAAGCTGTTGCCACCAAATATTATCACCCTGTGTTATATTTAAGGAAATTAAATAATGAAGAATTTGAATGAATGTTTCTTGCAAAGAAATAACAGTACTTAGGGCAATCAAATTTTGAATAACTTAGTTCGCATTGGAAGTGTGAATTTTGAATATGTTTTATTATCTATTTAAAATTTTGTAAAACTTTAACAAATTTTTGATTAACAAACTCAATGATTTCAAAGCGAGCAACGGCAATATTGTACGGGAAAAAATATTTTTATCTCTAGTGTGTGAGACTCCCTATCAGAAATTCTAAAGATATGCTTTTTTAAATATTTTGTGATATTGCTGTTGAGTTGAATTTTAGGGATTTTAAGTGCGAAGAACATCAAATTTAATCAATAAAGGCAACACACAAAACATTAAAAAAAAAAGTCCTTCTGGGCATAATATACAATCTAAAAGCTTTCAGATTTTTATTTATTTATTTTAATTCTCAGAAAATGTTTGCATTCCATCCAAGTCATTTGCATGAGAATCCACTTACTTAAGAATTTTTCTACTATGAGTGTTTAAAATCTGAAGCCCTTAACAAAAGTAACTATTTTCAATTTAACATTATTTTAAGAGAAGTTCAAATCAAGACAAAAAGGGAAACTCATATGAAAGTTTCTGCTAAACTATTTGTATGCAGATAAATGTTGCTCTATTCCATGCTGTTGTGGATTGTGTCGTATGACTGATAACAGCCTTTTCTCTTACAGTACTTTTGAATGCTTGTTAAGAATTTGATATTTATATGTTTACTAGCCTAGATATATTTTATAAGTCTAGGGAAGGGGAATACGAAATATTGGCTATTTACCTTTGCTAAACTATCACAAGATTTTTACACAAAGTGATGCTTGTTCAAAAATTTATAATAAATTTAATCTATTTCTGTTATGTAACTTGTTAGCTAATTTAATTAACATTTCATTTTTGGAACTGGTTAGTTTTATTTTCTTAAGTTTTTTCATCAAGTGGTTATAAAAAGTTTTGATTACAGTTGTAATTGACTGACTTAATTTTGGTAATGATTAATCTTTATTAACTTTTATGGAGAAACTTGTATTTAATTTGTTTCAAAACTTAATTTAAACTTGATCACTCGGTTTTCTTTTAAATTAATCGTTGTTTCTTTGGCATGACAATTAAGGTTATTTCTTTTTAAAGTGCTTGCGGAGACTAACTTCCTGTAATTCCTGAAATATTTGGTTGAAGAAAATTATGTCTTGATCTTATTTAAATTATTCTGGTGACATCTGGTTTTAAAATTTCACAATGATAAACCACTTATGCTTATTCTTGTGGCTGAAAATTTTTGTTGAAAATATGCTTGTCGAAATTCTCATTATTTTGTCCCTGGTGTCAACCAGTCTATAGTTTTTCACTAGATATTAACTGATATTGTATTTTCAGAGTTGTGTTTCGTATAATAGTTAGGAGAATGAAAATTCTCTTTTTGTATAATAGTCGTATAATAGTTAATTTCGTATAATAGTTAAGAGAATGAAAATTTCTGAAGTGGGGCACACTATTCCACATATGTAAAAAGGTATGTTATATGAGTTTTGCCACCCACCGGCGAAAGCTGCAACCAGAATCTGTAAAATCCATTTTGTTTTCTTACTACATGAATAATTAAATATGTTTACTTAACTAAACAAGCCTGTTTAGTTATAAATGTTTAATTTATATATACTTTTAATAGTTTAGTTTAATCAAACCCATACTGGACTATTTGCTGTGCTATAACTGAAATTTTCTTTGAGGAAGGGCAGTGGTCGGTCAAAGGTTATTGCCAATCGCCGCTACCACAATAGAAGGGTTTGAATCTCAGTTATTGGTCTGAAATCTTGGTGTATATTGTGATTTTTCTACAGTTGCATACGTTCACTTGAAAAGCAGGGTAGGTTTTCATTCCAACGCATTAAATGTTCAATATGTCTGTTTTTAAAGCCAGAATGATTTACAGTGAAGAACTAGTGTAAAATATCAATGTTAATAATAAATATCGCTTATATAAATAGGCAATAAACTAAGCTTACTTCCTGTAATTTTTCCTAAAGTGAATTGTATAATTTGTTAATAAATGCATGTTACTTCATAGATTTCATGTGATTATTCTGATGGTGAATAAAATGCATAATGCTACAGCATAATACATAATTTTATATGTAGTAAATTTCAATCCATATATTACAGAAATGCTTATGCATATTGATTAGATATTAAGCATATAGCATTAAATACTTATGTCATACAGTGTTGCCAGATCGAGCGATTTTTCACAAATTTGCAACTTTTGACAAGCTTGTGCTACTAAAATTTTAGTATTTGCCCTTTTGCAACTTCCATCATTTTCTTTTGCTACTTTTTGAGACTTCAAAGATTTTTTTTTTTTTTTTTTACTATTGTAAAATTCTTTTATGTTAAAATAATGTATCAATTAAACATAAAAATTATATTAAAAAAAAGTATTTTAGGCTTAAATATAAGTTGGCATCTGCCATTCTTGTTTACATGTCCTTTACAATGCTGCACAGCCTGACGCTGGTATAAAGAGAAGGGGGTAGGGAAAGGGGGGAAATGGGAAACAAGGAAAAAAACTGATTCCGAACCTCTCACCTTCCCCCCCTTCATCACTCATGTTGTTTTGTTTTTAAATCCATTCCCTGTCTCCAGTTCTATGGTGATAATGAATCGAACAAAAGAACTTAGGGTATACAAACAGAGAAAGAAATAAGTCTTACTCCTGATTATAATATTTTGAAGAGCTACACAATAGCAGGCTAAAAATCAAAGCAAAGGCATTTTTCTAAATAACAACAAAAATAAATTTAACAGTGAATGAACAAGGCTTTCTTAAGTAATCAGAATGCTGAAATAAATCCAACATGTAGAATGGGAATCTCACTGAAATCCACTCCTCAATTAAAATGCTCGCAATTAAGAAAAAAAAAAAAAAAAAAAAAGAGATTTAAAATCAATTAAATATCAACTCAAAACATTTAGTACAAAAGTGCTAATAGTCTAAACATGAGGAATCTCTTAAGAATGGATATGAACATATTAATTTTAAAATAGAAACCTAAATTAAATGAAAATTAATTTTGAAATGGATATTTAAACAATTGAAAATAAGCAATATGGTCTTAAAATTTTCGTTAAAACTAAGATACGTTATTAGAAAGACTTTGAGTGGAATATAGTGTGTAACTTACAGAACTAATGGACGGTAAATTTGTGATGACGGCAGAAGTCATGTGAGCACACGTAACTATGACGTCACAAAAAATCACGTAATCTCTGACGTTATTTGCGATTTTTTTAGTCTTCTTTTGCTACTTTAGTTGAAAATTCTCTGGCAACGCTGATGTCATGTTTCATGGTAACTGTAAAAATATGTTCATTTAAAATGTTTTTTCAACTGCTACAACTTAAGAAGCAACAATAGGTCATTATGAATGAAATGTCTTCAGAAGAAAAGGAAGAAAAAAAAATGATGCTAGTTCTCTTATCCACAGCATTTGTGCACAATAAGAAAAGATGCAAGTTTTTCACTTAACAATAAGTATTGACTCACTTAACACCCTAGCAGTTGTAAGCTACAGTATAATCATTTTCAGAGACAATGCTATGTGTCACTACATAACAATTTTAAATCACAGCCAAAAACAAATCACATTGGACAAATTCTGAATGAAACAAAGACCTACTGAGTTTATTCTGTTTTACTTCCTTGTACGAAGTAAAGGAAGTATCATAGCTGTGAAAATTTTCGTGTAACATATTTCAACAGAAATATTGATTTTGACCACTATCGAATGCAATTTAACGGTGTTTTCGCATGACATTTCTACGTAAGGACAGAATAAATGACTCTTTTCCCTCAAACAAGTTGCAAAAAGGATTTAAAATGGATTCAGAAAAAAATTTTTAGTGACTTCTGTACATATGAACCACGCATAACTCTAAAAAAAGAAAAGCCTCAGAACATTGAAATTTTGTACATATGACTGCAATAACATGTAGCAGTGCACGTCCCTTTTTGGTTGCAATTGGCTGCACCAAAAGCACATATATATAATTACAAAACAGTGTTGCATTTATATGATTATTTGAAATTTATTAATTATGAATTTCAATTTTTGGTCTTTGTGAAATACGAGTTCTAAATTTCTTACTTTATGTCTTTAATGATAATTCTTCTGCAGCTTAATGAGCGAAAAAAATGTTTGTGTTTTGTTTTCAAAAAAATTGTTTTGTAATTATATATATCTATATATACCCAATCTGTTACTCTGCTCCGTGAGCTGCTTTTATTCATTCTTATATGTTGGTAAATTGCATATTTTTTGCTTTAAAAATAACTAAATTATGTTGTTCTTATTTTCCAGTTAAGGTTTTTACGCCTTTAGTTAATCTGCATGCAATAGTTGTAGAATTATCAACAATTTAAAAGTTATTTAAGTGCGGCTAAGTGCCCCCAAAAATCTACCATCTTGCCTGCTGGCCAAATTGCTTGTTTTTGTGTGTAAACTCTAATTTTAATTGTAAAAATTATTTTTTAAAATTGTTTTAACTGTCTTTGTGTTTTATATTTTTCCATTTTTAATAAAGATATTTTGAGGTTTTAAGCATTTTTGCCTTGCCGCAAAGTGAGAACTGAATTAATTGAATGAGAAGTATATCTTTAATGAAATTCAAGTTTAAATGAAATACAGCAAAAAATTTTATACACAAGGAAGTCAAGTGGTGTACACATAAGATTTTTTTACACATATTTAATGATTTTCATTTTTTGGTTATTAGCATTTTTAGTTTTAGGTGTGTATTTTTAGTTATGTTTAGCTATGACTTTTGGTTGCAGAACTTGCAAAGTATACTATTGTAAATTTTAAGTAAACAATCATCTGTGATCCTGGAATGAATTAATTTATTTTACATTAATTCCTGTGGAGAAAACTCTTTTAGTTTACAAACACCCTTCAGGAACAAATTAAATTTGAGAATGAAGTTTCACCGCTTTTGGTCACAGTTTTTTCGACAGGTTCCATTAAGCTTTGAAGTGCAGTACCATTTAGCTGTAGATGTCTATGCACTGAAAATCTAAAAACTCATTTTAATATTTAGTTGGTTAATATGAATGGAATTAGATTTTTTTTTTTTTTTTTTTTTGAAATAAAGTGATATTGTGTAATCCAAAAAATATTTTCTAAATGTCAAATGATTTTTGCCCTTCTATGTACCATTACTAAAAATTATTTTAACTCCCCATACAAATGGGTATGTATTACAGTCAACAGTCGTTAATTCGGACACCCATAATCCGGACCTCAAAACTACAAACTTGCCGCAAGCGCATAGGCGTTTACGCGTGCGCGTAAGACCTTTACGGCTGCGAATATGCGTGTGCATGTGCATAATACGTTTACGCATGCGCGTTTAATATATAACAGACGGTATAAGCTAAAAATTATCTAATTCAGTTAATGTTGGAGATTGCGTTGTTCCTTAATCTTCGAATTAGATCCGGCTTATTATTTTTTGCAGACCGTTAGAGCAATTTTATAAAAGTAAGCTTGAACTTTCGATTATGTCAAATAGAATTTCCGATATATATTTACTAATATGTAAAGGATCTACAAAGTGAAAGTATGTTTCGAAATCCGAAATCTGTTTATCAATTTCACGCTGCTCTGCGGCGGAGGGGGGGGGGGGGACACCGCAGCACGCAATGAATTGGAAGTTGATCTGTCAGCACTAATCCTTATCTTCAGGGCAGATGTTTTTATTTTTTGGCTTATAATTCCTTACTAAAGTAGTATTTCATCTCAATTACTCCGTTTTGATATAATTTAAATCAAGTTCCTGTCATTTAATTCGCTTCCAATAGTGAGAAAGTGACCCAGAGGTTATGAAAACGAAAAAATTTCGATTGACAAATTAGTCAGTATTCTCGACACAGCAATTACGGACTTGAACAGCGGAACTTTGTAACTAACGAGAAATTATGTCTGTTTAATAGAATTAAACAGAAAGTATTATCACATGAAACGAAGCAACTTAAACAACTTACGTTGAAAGAAATGTTTAATAAAGTAAACAAATAAATATTAAGTATGATTCTTTTTGTAAATTTTGGTACCCTTTAGATCATAATTGTTCTTTATTTCATAAATTACGGTTTCATATTTTTAATTTTGCATGCCATCTTACCAGATTTAAACTGATGATCTATAATCCGGAATCGCCGAAGTCCCAACGAGTCTGAATTAACGACTTTTGACTGTAAATAAATTGAATCTTTTAAATTACTGCTTCTTATTTTTAAAAACAAATATGAAAATTTTTTTAATCAAGTTCTCTCACCAGTGTGAAAACTGCAGCAGCTAGCTTTTGACTCTCCCCATACCATTTATCTGTCAGAGATGAAACCTCCAAATTTATGAAGCGTGCACCTGAAATTAAGATAGATATATTAGAATCATGGACAGTGATGAATGTTTGTCCAGTAATAGCTTTACAGAACAGAATTGCTTTATATCTAGCAATCTTAAAATATTTATAAGAAGCTGATGGCAAAGGGATATGACTGATAGCTTCACACTCTGTGGCTTATTGCAACAAATTTCAAAGCTGTTTCAAACTTTCTTTCAGTTTTTTACAAAGTTAATAATGCAAACAAGAAACACTTGGCAAATTTCTGCATATTTTGCTTTTTATAACAGGCTCTATATAGTTGCCCTATATATAAATTGTCATTCATAGATTAAGGGTTTAGATACAGAGTTTGTGCATTCTCATCCTGATGTTTTAAATGCTATTATAAAACTATCATAATCACTTTAAATTTACTTCATGATTAAGATACAATAACATGCCAAACAAATATTAATTTAGAAGTCAAACAAACAACAAAAATCAGCGTTATATTTTCACAGGACTAGTTTCGATGGTTCTACCGAACCATCATCCTCAGCTGCAAAAGCGCAAATGAACGAAGTAAGACTTTGTTCATTTGCGCTTTTGCAGCTGAGGATGTTGGTTAGGTAAAACCATCGATACTAGTCCTGTGAAAATTTGAAAAATACAACGCTGATTTTTGTTGTTTGACTTCTAAATTAATTACTTCATGATCCATATGAAATTTTAAAGAATATCATAAAAACTTGAACAAATATTTTTCTAAGCAAGTATTGCAAAAAGTTTAATGATAATCTCAAAATAACCATTTGACTAAGCAACAGAGACTTAAAACATTCAAAAAATGGTTTACCCACAGAAATATGATATATTTTGTATATAACTTTTTTACTTTATAGAATGAAACTATCTTTACTACTGTGCATTATATTTTTTAAAATTATTTTTAGATAGAGACTGTAATTTATTTTAATCAAATGCATATTTTCTGTAGAATATGTGTAATATATTAAATGTTAACATTAATATTTCTATTTATTTTGTGAGATCTTTGCCACCAAATCCTAAATACAAGCATAAAAATTGATAGAGCATGTATAGTTGATTACAATAGAAATAATTCTGAAGCAGTAAGCAGAGTTCGTACACATTTCTGCACACGGAAATTAAGTACTTTTAAGGACTTTTAAGGACCATTAATGAAAAAAATTAAGGACCTATGAGCAAATGGGAACTGAATTCAATTAATATTATTATGCCTGAAGCGTGCACTTTGTTACCACCCCTAAAATAAATAGTCCCTAAGTAGTATGCATTATTACTAAACATGAATATTAACAAATTAATCTAAGTTGAAATAAAAAACCTCATGCAGTTTATCATTAGCATTAAATATTTTACACTTAAATAGGTTGGGCATATTTGAAATAAATAAGTGACATTCGTTTACTAATAGTTAGCTTAATGTTATTTTTTTTTTATGTCTCATTGTCAATACTTGGTTAGTCTAGAGAGAGCTTCTCATTGATGATACGCGTACCTGGTGGTATGAGAAAAAAATGGGTACACAAAGAAGCAAAGTATTTTTAACTATTTATTTAAAATTAAAACCTCAACATCCGATTAGTTTTTTTTCCAACACTCGTAAATTTATGCAATATGAGCTTTGTTCAAGAGTGGTGGTACTAAAGGTTTTCAATTTTTATTTAGATGGTACACGTTAGTCAAAAGGTTGAGAACCGCTGATCTAGAGATTTAGTAAATAGAATGTAGATTTTATGTCAAACATCATAGGTTAAAATGAGCAGTAAGATCATAATCAGCATGATTAGTAACAAAAGACTGAATGTTATCACCGCTGCTGCTTGTCTAGAGAGAGAGCTGTTAGAAAACCTGAAAGGAGTAGGACAGTTAGCAAGTTGAAAGTTAGTCAGGCTCGTTTGATGTAGTAGTGTCACAGCTTTGTGTAGAGTTCCAGGGGCTTTACCAGTTAATATACTTAGGTTCCCATAAGCCATTAAAGCACCAGAGGTGATATGCTGTTTTGTATTATTTTAAGTCTCACTAATGCAAAGAATGTTTCTGAATTTCTACATTTTTGTGTTTTATCTTGCGACCACAGTGAGGTAATGAAAAGCAAACTCACTTAATATGTAGAGATAATTATTAAGGGTATCAGAAAACCCCTATACCGACAAGTAAATTGGCCATTTTCAATGTACCTTTTCTCAAAATCTGCGTAGATACAGCTTGAATTTTTTTCGTAATTAAAGTATACTATCTGATTATACTGAAAGCAGCTTTTGAAACATTTTGAATTTAGAGTAAATTACGGGATATTTGTTAGCATAGTAAAAATTTAGCACTTTTTCACACAAAAAAATTAAAAAAAAAATTTCCAAGTTTATTACAAAAGCTCATTTCAGTAAATATTAGGAACCAAATAAGCATAAAAAAGTTTAGATACCTGTGAGCAGTAGTTCCTGAGAAAAGGTACATCGAGTATAAAAAAATCATGTTTGGAGAAAAACGCATTTTTACGTAAAAATCTTCATTGATTAAAGCAGTAGATGACAAATTAAAACTAGATTTTTTTATAGTTCTAATTTTCATAGAGATTAAAGAATGGTATTTTTAGAAAGATAAAAGTGTAGAGAATTTGAAAATGCATAAATCCGAAATCACAATTTTTTTAAGATTTTGGGGTTCCAACTCCCCTTTAGGGTAAGTGGTTAGTTATAAATAATTACATTAGGTAAATAGGTAACCTTAGTCATTATGGATTTACATGGCCACTATTAAATTTTATTTTTTAACAATATTTGTTAAAAAAAAAGCCCTATTAAAATCTAATAAAATTTCACAGTTTAAATACACGTAATTTATGAACTGATTCTTAAAGAATATTAGAATAATTACACATTAAAAGCTACAAAAATTTATGTTTTGTAATAACACTCAACAAAATATTATCCGTCATTTTGATTTGAAGCTTCCCAACATTTTGGCTAGTTAATATCGATTTCCTTTTCTTTAAGCATCTTTTCTAACAATAATTAGAGATTGTCTCCTATGCAAACCAATGCTCTCGCTAGTTTCTGCGTCTTATCTCCTAACTTGTCAACCTCTCCACAATGTAACCTATGAGGGCTTACTTGATCTGGTAAATGTTAAATACCCCCAGACAGAAAATTATCACTATGTCTGAAATTAACTAAGACATAGCAAGCAAATTATCACTATGTCTGAAATTAACTAAAGTCAGAGGAAAGGTTTAACTGAGCCTCTTATTTAAAAAGAACTTAGAACATAAAGGAATGTTCTGCTAATGAAATCTGCATGATGTAACTAAACAAGAGTCAAATTAAAACTAATCAAGTAAACCCTCATGGACTAGTAGTCAAAGACTATACAATACAATTTAATTTAAGCAGGCTCAGTAACTCTATCGTCATAACAAACTCAAATGGAAATTATAGTAAAGCTGAAATCATAAACAATTGGGTAATTTACATAATAATAACTGCACATATCTTTGAGAATAATTTCTTATGTATTCAGTTCTTTCTTTGGCATTTTTCCTTTCATTTTGAATATTGGATTTAATTAAGGATTATATTTTTCTAAAAAACATTAAATGCATTTAGAATATATAGAAAAGTGACTAATTTAATTTCTTTAGTAATATGGAATTCAGATGAAATCTGAAATACATATGGTAAAGGATGAGATGAAATCTGAAATATATATGGTAAAAGCTGTTTACAGAGCTAGTGTGGCAGAATTTTTAGAATTTAGAAACACACCAAACAACAAAATCAAGAAATGGCAAAACTTTTAGAATTTAGAGCATGCATTGAAAGCAGAATTTAGAAAGGCTGTAGAATTCTCCACTGTGTAATTCTAAGTTACATTGAAAAGAGAAGAATCTTAAGAACTAGCAAGTGAATAATCGCTTGAGTTTGTGAGACAGTGCATAAACTTGGAAAGGGTTTATTATTCAAATAAAATTTAACAGAACTCTGTCTTGGAGTTGTACAATAAAGCCAACACCCAGGCTTGAACTTATGAGACTAAGAATTAAACTAAACTAATCTTAACTAAAGAGATATAGCCGAAGCTTTCAAAATTCTAACAGAGATGACCCCTCAATGCTAATTGATTGCGAAGCTATCAAGGGCCTAAAGTACGGCCGAGCGTAATAATAGCTTACGAGAGAGTAGCCTAAAGAGGCGGGCACGTGCTAGCCAGAATACCTGGTATCTCTCTCACTAAGACAGTAGAACTTCGCAGTTAAATACGGCTCTTCCTCATTAGCATTCAGACGTGATTCTAAAACTACGTTCTGGCCGGAAGTGGTAAGTTGAAATTAAGAAGCGATAGGAAAGGAAGTTTAACTCAAAATTTAACTGTTAATGAAATTAACATAATCCATACTAGTGCAGTCGAATTTAGGAGAGGAGGATCCTTACAAGTACAGTCGAATACACTATGCAGTCAAATTTAGGATCCACAGATATTGTATCAGATGTGAAAATGCCTAGTGCCAGCTCTGTGTATGATGCATTAAGACATATTAGATGGATCTTTTAAATTGTAAGTTTTCAATTCTTTTATTAATAAAAAAATCCTTTTCTATAATGCCTGCCCAAGTGATAAGATTAGAAGCATTTTTTATTTTTTCATGCTTGTGTCTAGTGAAAAGTAGTGAAAATAAAGGGAAGATAAACATGTTAAGAAAAAGATTCTAGTATCAGGAATAAAACATTCAAATATTATTCTTCATTGTTCTTCCAGATGTTCTCCAAAAAATAAGAAATTCATCGCAAACTTTCTGGAAAATACATCCATTATGTGTTGATACCATGGAGACATTTTTCATTTTGTCACATATTTCTCGAATCTTCTAGAAAGTGGGTATCTAAATCTTTTTCCAAATCCCTCTATATTTTCCAAGGTGCAATGTCAAAAATACTGAAAAAAAAATTATCTCAGCCAATTCTGTAACAGCAAAAAGCCAGAAATATTTTGGGAAAAAGTGTAAAATTAATTTTATAGAGAAAACTGATGCACATTCTGAGAATTTTGAATATTCTGAGACAATGGGAAAAACGCTTACTATGAAAAAATTAAAAAGAAGACTTTTTAATTAATTACATAGCTAATTTTGCTTTTGCAAAGAGCTGTTTCGTAAATTATGCTTTATAGCATTATACCTTGTTTATTTTTCAGATTTGAAATATTGTATATTAAGTTGCCAAAATGAAGCTTTAATATGACAGTGAAAAATAAAAATGTTTTATTTTAATGTTATTTAATTTAATTATTTATTAAAATTCTCAGATTTTGGAATTAAAAATTTTCTACAGAAACTGATCTTAAAATCGCCAAAATGTTGACAAGTAGCCAAATTTAGAACCGTTTAAATAAATGAATTCACATCCCAAAAGCGAAAATTGTTTAAGAGCTCTTTATTACAAAAAATGAATTTCGAAATGCTTATGTTTTACTTCTTGCTTAGAAACTCGAGTATCCCATCATTTATATTAGAAATAGAAATAAATATAACCCATGAATTCGTTCAAAAGATAACCATATATGTCAGTGAATCGCCAAAAATATCCCTCCAAAATGCTAATTCACACTCAAAATGGCAGTCGTAAAAACGGACAGAAATTTCAGATGATTAAAATTAAGGGCCTCCTACTGATTTTGATCAAAATTAAGAACTTTTAAGGACCAAAAATTCATTCCAAAAAATTTAAGGGCTGTTAAGGACTGTACGAACACTGCGTAAGGTTTCCTATAAAATATAAATTTTTCTGTACAAGATGCACCTGCAGTGAGATCAAAAAATATTGATTTTTGAAACCACATTAGAAGAAAAACAGTTTGAAAGAATGTTATATTTGGTCAATCATCCATTTCTATTGCTTTTGTTTTTTAGAAAAGACCTGAAATTACATCTTACAACTTTCAAACCTTACTTACAGTACAAACATGTTTGTTACATTAATTTTGAATAGAAAATACAAAACTGGTACAAATTGCTGCCACTAACAATTCCAAATGAATTATATTTATGATTATTAACTGCATTTTGATGAAAGAATTTCAGTATATCCTTCTACAATAGATATTAGAAAGAAATTTCTAAATGCTTATTTATAGAGCAACTGAAAAGCAACTGAAATTTCCTTAGAAAATAAACCTGGATAAAAACTAACATTTTTAATTCTTTGCAGCTGAAAGTCCCAAACACTTGAACTAAGTTATTTTTACAAAACAGATTTATTTAAATGCATTATATATTTTAAAATCGACTAGTACAGAGGTATTTAAATAAAAACTTTCTTTTTTTTAAACATGTGGTTTTTGTTGTATATATGACTATAATTTTATTAGTAAAAAAAAAATTTAGATCAAAAAAACAAAATCTTTTATAAATTCTTTATAATCCAGTTGCATTAGTTCTCTTTAATAATGATCTGAAATTACTTTGTCATTTTTAAATCATATTCTATAAGAACAAATGTGTATCTTGCATTAATCTTGATTTATAATAGGAAAATAACAAAATTTGTTGTTGGTTACAATTCTAAGAATTCAAGACAGTTAATCGATTATAATGTTTTAAAAATTTCCACATATTATCTTTTGATAAAAAATTTCCAATGTATACATATATATTATATAATTTCACATTTATCATTACCCCCCCCAAAAAAAAATTCTCTTGAACATGAATTACAGTGAAATGCTTTGAAGAACAAAAAATTACTAAGTAGTTATATGAAAATCATATACACAAAAGGAAAGAAAATAATAGTTACAAACTTGGAACTTGGGGTAAAAATGTTAAAAATTACTATAATACCTTTTTTTAATGAAAAATACCTTTTGACATTAAAAAATAATACTTCAGATTCATCATCAATTAAGAAATTCAATCAGACATGGCATAGAGTGAAAATGCATTCAACAAGAGAGAAAATTACCAAGCAATTGTATAAAACTGTGTACATGAATGAACGAAAAAAGCTCTTAAAAACTGATACTACAAAAATAAAATTTTATAAAAAATAAATATAAGGACTTAATTCTTAACTGTAAAGTTCTTGCCTTAACACCTCAGTAATAGCTGTAAACTAGAGTAATCATCCCTTTCTAGATATTTTGCTTTCATATTGAGTGTATCTTATTATATTAAGATATCTAATGAAATATTCTTCAAAAAGTAAACCATCGAGAGTGTAAATATACATTAATGTGCAAAATTAATAAAATAGTGAAATTATGTCTATTTTTATGAAAAGTATTAGACCAAAAGTACTAATTATGCCAATATTCAGAATCAAATACATAAGCATACACATGCGCGTCTGTGGAGCTGTGATTATGGAGAGCATATAAATATAAGTGCACTAGAGGTTTCCTGTAACTTGAATGTTCACATTTCTTTAAGACGTTCACCATGTTTCTCGCAAGAGTTGGGTAAATTTCCTAACGTATCACGGGTAAAATCAGTAGCCACAAACGTATGGATGACAGAATAAGATGGAGAATCGTCGGTAGATTGGAGGAAGGTCAGTCACAAGCACAAATGGCTCAGAGCTCGGTGTAACTCCTAGTATCATCTGTATTTTGCGGGAACATTTTCTGGACACACCTGGATAAGGCTATTCACGATCCACAATGATGAATGAGGATCGCTATTTGGAACTTTCAATGGGGCTACACAGGGCTGCTATGCATTATGAAATAGGGCTGTACAAGTTCTGCTCACAGCAGTAGACGAGAGAATGCATTTAGCATGGTGAAGACAACATGTGCCTCAGTGAAGCACTATGCTTTTTACAGACAAATAGAGATTCAGACTGGACCCTCATTCTGAAAAATTCATTAATTGTATTTTATTACTGTTGAATCATTTTCTCTCCTCCATATATTTCCAAGTCAAATAATTTATTTCCTTCCTTTTTGACAAATGCTGAATTAACTCTTTCATGACCAAAGTGCCTACAATACGCACACACTAAAATAAAATAAAATAAAATAAAAATAAAAATAAATAAATAAATAAATAAAAATTACCTGCTTCCTTTGCTGTAGCTTTGGCAATCATAGTTTTCCCACAGCCAGGTGGTCCATGCAAAAGTACACCTGAAAACAGATTTGGTTATCCTTGGTTATAACTACATGAAAAAAATTCTTATTAGTTCTTGAAAAACTAGCTATAAAATTTTGGCAAAACCTTCCGATGATCATTAGAAAATATATTTTAGTGATGACGCAAAAATTTAAATTAGTGCTTGTTAAATACACAGAAAATCATTACTCTTCATTTAGATAAAATTAAGAAATATACAAATACCAAAAATTACATAAATAAGCTCACAACTTTTTGTTGAAGTAGATATTGTATTGGAAGGATTCAGTTTTTCCATTACTATTATATTAAAAAACTGAGATTTGTAGGAAATACTTACTTCATTTAACAATTTAGAATGATACTGTTTCAATAAAAAAGTTCCTGCCAGCAGGAGATATGCAAAGAATGTTAACATACACTAACAAATTCTCATTAATATATATATATATATATATATTAATTTTTTAATTACTGCTATTGTAGCTCTACCATACAATATAACTACTTTCTCCAGAATTTATATGTTAAATGACACTTATCATTTCTATAATGCCAATACAATAAGCAGCAAATAAATATTTATCTATCAAAGCATCTAGATGTGATCCATTTCCTTCTAATAATTCTTCTTGTTAGATCTATCTACATTTATTGTATTACATGTTCTCAGTAAGCTTTCATGAATAATGTGTAATTTTATTGCAAGGAAATGAGCATGCTGCCAATTTTTCAGCAATGCACCTTAATCCTGAAAACACAGATCTCCTTATAAGTTACAAAATCTCAGAGATATGCATTCATGAAATGTTTTAGAAATAGCGAAGAAAAGCAAATAAGATTAAACATGTGGTCAACAAAACATAGTTAAGATTATACGAGAGGCTGCAGAATATACTGCAAGAGCTACTTATGTATTTATGAACAAGATAGCAACATTGAAAATATAATGGCACCATTATTGGTAAATCATCAATGGAAAAAGAAGAGTGCCAATATTGAAGTTATGAACATTCACAGAAATCAGAAGTTAAAATGCCTTATTCAAATAACATAGGTTTCAACAAAAAAATGAATGGAGGAATTTTCTAAAGCAGGCATCAGAAAAAGCTACAGTTTCATTACTCACCGAGTAAATTAAAACTTTGCTTTGAGCCATGTTTTGAAGTTTATCATAATAAACTTCATTTCTAATAAATGTCTTGCAAGTATTTGGCATATTTTCATTAGTATACATGTTTTACCTTTGTATTTCATAAAATAAATCATAATTTAACCAAGATTAATTTTCAAAATTTTGCTTTTATATGATTTTTTTCCCATTTCAATTTTATGACAACAATTTTTCTTATGATCTAATTCTATAATGAAAAAATCTCTTTTATAAACAAAACAAAATGAAAAAAAATTGAATATTTTAATTTTAAAATACATTTAGATTTGAAATATGTAATAAAAATATGCAATTTTTAAACCTTTTTTTAACAAAGAAAAATTACGCAGCAGGTTAAGATACTCCTGTTTTTGCATACTTTCAAAACAAAAGTTGTTAGTCACTGAAGTAAGCAGGATGGTTGAAGTTAATTAAACTAGAAAAATTATAAAAATTTATTCATATCTCAACAAACAATTATTATTTACTTTTTGAAAAAATTTGCATTTGTCTAACTTTCAACTTTTAGGTCAGCTTATACATGTGAATGAATTTTCTGATACAAGAATGCTGCTTTGAATCTATAGAGAAGTAGCCTAATATGTAAGCACCTATAAGCCTGCACAAAGAAGTGAAGACCAAATGCAAAACAGATATTGAATAATTGATTAAATAAGGACAAGGGGGCCTATTACTAGTAAAAGATCAATAACATTCACTGATCACTTATATTAAACTTTAACGTACATTTTATATACAATTTATTTTTTTAATCTATTAAGACTTTTAATAACTTCAGATTTTATAATAAAATATCAAAACAATGTGCTTAAACGTAAGTTTTACATGATATATTCCCCCCGTTTATATTAAAATACTGAATAATCAGCAAACAGAAAAATACAAAGGAACTTTGATAATAAGAATATATAATGATGAAAGTGTTATTATGGTGTATAAGAGAACATACAAATAAAAGAAATGCCTCCCACTACCATCAAATAAAGAAAATCTATTTTTAATACAGTAGATTATAGATTATGGACAAGAAATAACTATCAGAAATAAAAATCAATTATATGATATTGCTAGCTATTATTGCTACTTTGCTGTTACAGCCACACATATCACTTAACATTTTTTACCCCTTGATAGATTTGTGACCAGAATTTGTAAAAAGATAACCCAGATATTATTCTATTTCTTCAAGAAATATCTTTACAAAGGAGGATTGTGTTCAAAATGAAATTAAAATGCAACTCAAAGCTTAAAAGATTATACAGCTTTTGTTCATGTCGGGAAGAAAACAGTATTCCAAACATAAATGTGATTTGTTGGAACACATTCCTTTCATTCCTGCTGTATGGTTCACTTACTAATGATGTCAGGAGTTGAAATCTGCTCAGTTTTGTAAAATTAAAGCTTTCTTCAAACGAATTGTAACACAGTGATGGACTGGAATAATTACTTGACAAAAGTATGTGCCAGTTCCTTATCAACTCATTAAACTAATAACTCGGCGGCAGAAACAGTCCTTAGAGAGCCATGGCCAGCAGTGCCCTGATATCTGCTTACTAGACTGTGGGCCCAAGAGTGCTTGTGCATATTGCCTGGACAAGTGGTCAGCTTGTCACAGGACCCTTGGTGTTTTAGTCACCAAACGAACTTGGTACTCATTTTATCAACCCTCTCAGGGATGAAAGGCTAAGTCAACCTTTATCAGCCTGGGAATCGGACCCTGGACCTGTGGTGCTGTTGCGTAATGAGCTAGCCACTGTGCCATCGGACCTCTTGTTAACTCATTATAGAATTAAAATCAAAGAATGCAACAAAATTGTTGAAACTGATGAAAGCTTATCAACAAAACAGTGAGCCATGCTCTTCTCTCATAATTGATTTTGGGAAGACTCTGCGGTGAAACCAGACACAGTTTCATTGTTGCTATTCCTGATCCTTCTGTTATGCTTAGTACTAAGCCATAGCCATGTGGAAAAAAAGGCCAGAAATACAGTGTTATGGCACCGAAAATGCATGGTATGGCTTTAATTGAGGGGGGTAGAACAAAAATATTGTATAACTACTAAAAACTTCTTCTCATTGTTTATGCAACAAAAGCTTCTACAATTAAAAGCCTTATCAAACATTTTTATCATCTGCAGACAAATATTAATTGTACTCTACAAAAAAAAAATATCCTACTGTTTAATAATAATGTTTATAAATTAAAATTTGAAAATTAAATTGGAGATAGACAAAAGAATCAGCATTCATGGGGCTTAGTTCAAACACCACACAGTCTGGCATCTGCTACCTTCTGACATGGCATACAATCAGTAATTAAACATTAAAAATAATATTATAAGCTGTTTAACATTTAAAAAATAATACTTCTTCCATATTTTCCTTATAATATATCAAATTCACGTAATCCATAATGCAGATAAATTATATAATTCGTAAAGTTTGTGACATTATTATATAAATAATAGATCCTTTAATATTATTAGCACATATTTTAGCATAGAATTACACATGGCATTTACGACCACATTAAATTTATGCTCTCAAGGGGTGATTGCTGCTTCTAGACTTTAAATCACTGATAGCCAACTGAATACTGCCTGTTTAAGGGGGGGAATAACATATATACAGCACAAAGGCCGAAATCCGGACGTCCATTATCCGGAATGATCTAAAATCTGGACCTCAAAACCACCAACAAAAGTTTTCTCATAGGCTTTACGCATGCGCATAATAAAACATATGGAGAGTCTCGATTCTTAATTTCACTTCGACACTAAATAAAATACCTTGTTATTGAAGAAACAATCATTTTAGCATAAAATTTGTATGATCAGTAATTTGGCTCCATTGGTACGTATTTGCCTGGCCTCAAATCGAAACATTTCACATAGATACATCGTTGATCTGACGCCAACCTGGCGAACCATTTTTTATTATACTTTCCTTTCATTATCGCATGTTTATCAAAACATGACAACTTGAGTAATGACTCATGTAGCGATGCCTAAACATTTTTTTTATGTTAGTAATTGAATAATAACATAACCTTTTATGTTGGCATTATGCTTGCCGATGATTAGAGATTTAAGTTAAATGGGCTAAAAAGTGTTGACGAGGAAAAATTTCTTTCCATATGCTGAAAATAGATTTTGCTGATGATACTCATAGACCCAAAGATTACATTTAGGGGTATTTAAATAAGGAATAACTGATGTTATTCACATAAGCCCAGAACCAATGCCAGGGCTCGTATGGCCGCACCAAGTCCCAGAATTTAGGATCTACAGAAACTGCATTAGGCGGTAAGATATTTAGCACTGGCCCTCAATAAGGCTTAAGTATATGTAGGAATTTACTTATCTGATATGCCTTAAACATGTGCAAGAAATAGACATAAGTATAATACATAACTAAACTAATACAATTCAGGCTTTATTGTCTAAGTCCCAGAAGTCCAGTCCAGCAAGATAAAATTTAATGGAACAACTTGTCATTAGTCGCCAAGCTCATGATGCAAAGATAGCTAAATTTGATGATGACAGCCACTAATTTTAAAAGTTTTCAGACATCGCAAAACAAAGGTGAAATTTTCCAGTTAATGAGTTTTGTAAAGAAATGTGGAAAAGCGGTAATAAATGAAGATGTTGAATGAAGCGGTAATGAATGAAGTTTTCATTGTGATGACAATGCTTCTGAATCATCAATCAATTAATGAATGGAGAAATCTGTAGTATGTTTCTAGTTCCAGAAAACTGCTACCGATAGTTAAGAAAGTGACAGAGAAGTTACTGAAAACGAGAAAATTTAGATTGAAAAGTTAGTCGGAATTCTTGAAACAGCAGTTACAGGACTTCGACAATGTAACTGAACAAGAGATTATATCTGTCTACAGAGTTCAAGACAAAGTATTAGCACTAAAAACGAAGTAACTTAAAACAACTTACATTAAAAGAAATGTTTAATAAGGTAAACAAATAAATATTATGCTTTTTTTTTTTTTTTTTTTAAATTTGATACCCTTTAGATTATAAATACTTCATTATTTCATATTTTTAATTTTATAATTTCTACATTCCATCTTACTAGATTTAAACTGATGATTTATTATATGGAAAAATCCAAAATCACCGAAGTCTCGATTTCGGACTTTGTACTGTATTTATCCAATACTGAATGTGAATCCAACAAGAAGAATATCAGATGACTATATTGCAACTTGTGTTACATTTAAAAACAATCAATAAAACTTTCAAATTGCTTTCAACTATTTAACTTGAAAAAAAAAATTAAAGTAAATTTGAGCTTAATAATCAACACTATAATAAAGATAAATTAGATGGACTAGGTTCCCTTTGCAGTCAATTTAATTTATGCTGTACAGAAAGTTTTATAAAATACATATTTTAATACTCTGACTAATATATTTTTGTTAAATTTAAGTGTCATGCAGCAAAATGCTGTCATTTCAAAAACCTTTAAAAAAATGGGAAGTTTTCCTATGTAGGGATGGTTCATAAATTTTCACACCACCTTCAGATCTAATAATGTTCCCAATGAAATGATAGTTATGCAGTTGATAAATTCAAAGAATCTGGATCATTTATGACCATAAAATTATCCAGACAAAACCACATGACTTTCTCACAGACTAAAACAATACAGTGGCACAGAATAATGTGAATGTGACCTCCCAAGAAGTTACTTGACTGTTAACATCATCCCCTATACTGAATACTAATAATAGTTTATACCAACTTATACAGATTACAGATTTTCATATGAAACCATACAAGAGTCAGTTGATGCAACTTTAAATAGACAACCAGAAAGTGAAAAGTTTTACCAAGTAGATTTTGACATATAAGAAGAGGACAGCTTTTCAAAAAGAATCTTCAAGGGACAAAGCATACTTTCTTCTGTCTGGATTTATTAACAGAAAAAATTGCTGCATTTGAGGACAAGAGAACTATACGGTTATCCAAGATTACCAATGCTCTCTGTAAATGTAAACCATTGTTTAATCTCTGTAAACCATTGGTTAATGTTTTGGAGAGGGAGGTACAACTAACCCCTTCTTTTATAAAAGAGATCCTGCAAAATGCAATTATGGTTAACAGTGATCATTACTGTGATGTAATCACAAACTTTTTGTGGTCTGCAGTGGTGAAATGCGTGCTACAGGTAAGTGATTTCAGCAGGACAGGACTAACTGTTACAAATCCTGTGAGTCATTAGCACTGCTTTTTGAAAAAATCTCATTTTGCTGCAGCAACCAGGAATAGCCTGTCAGGGCTTGTGATCTCACACCTTGGAACCTCTTTCCAGGGGTTATTTTAAATCAAAAGTTTATATGAATAAACCACAAACAATTCCTAAATTAAAAAGAGAAATTCACCAGGTCACTTGGGAAATCAACAAAGACATCTGTGAAAGGGTAATCATGAACTTCACTGAAACAATAATAACTTGCCGATGAAGTTAAGGTAACAAACAGATAACATTCTCCAAAATTGAACTAGAATGTACACAACAGAAAGGTAAACAAAAATTTTGATATTTTGTGCAGCTTTGACTTTTACTGCATTTTTACAAATTTGTGCAATTTATGAAACACACTTTCTATGAATTATGGAGTTCCCTAGCAAGCTATTAACATGGGTTTATCTAACACATTTAACCTAAATCTTTAAATTAAATATAAATAATAAGAAATATCAATCGTTTTATCCTGGAGCACTTTAGTCTTCTATAAAAAACAAAACATGACACTTTACTCGATTTTTTACAGTAACCAAAAGGTATACATGAAAAATTCAGTACACAGTCCTATATAACAATTATAGTATTCTAAGTATTTTATAGTTAAAATAACAATACACAATATCTGTATTTATCTTTGAATCCATGTGTAGGCCTCAATAATTATCCATTCGGACCACAAATTGTGCTTTTTCTGACAGAAATACAATAAAAGTGGACACCAAATATGTTTGCAAAATATAGTATTGGACATAAAAAAAAAAAAAAAAAAAAAAAAAAATCTTATTTTTTTTCTTGCTTAAAACACTGCAGAATTTTCCCTCCCTCTTCTCTTATGCATATTACACATAAGACACTAGCTGTGTCATGTCTGCCTTGTTTTAACAATGCAATGTACTCAGAAAGCATAATTTAAATTTTACTGACGCTGATTCACTTTTGATGATTTATTAATTGCGTAGGCTTCTTTTCCTCTTCACTTACATAATCATTCCCGGTTATTAAGTTTTGGTTCAATCCATCAATCTTTAATATGACTTAACTCTGTCCATTTCCACCACAATTATTGCATTCTTTAAAATCTTTAATTTAAAAATGATACATAGTTTGAAGAGCAATTTCAAAACTTCTACTTTAAATGTGATCATAATTTGTAGCATAACACAGCCTATTATAATTTTTTTTTTCTCTTGCCTCCTTGATTCATTCTGTCCATTGTATTATCTCAATGTCTGATGGAGAACAGAAAATGCTAACTAAAAGAGCGATGGATTATCGATTTTCTACTGTAATTATTTCAATTATTACAAATGTGTCACTACAAGATTTCTTCAATATACTCATTTTTTGTTCTAAACGTGGTGGGCCGATGTTTGCATGCTCAGTAATTTTGCATTATTATTTTTGCACAATACTGTTAAGCTGATTTTAATCTTGAGGATGACTGAAGCACTGAATATCGCAATATTACATTGAATACAGATTCACTGAATATAAATTCAGATAAACAACAAAGATGAAAAAGTTCATCTTTTTTTAATTAAATAATGATGATGATGATGATGATGATATATAAGAAATGTTCAAAATGAAATTTTAAAACAAACCTTTAGGTGGTTGTATCAGCATTGATCCAGAAAAAAGTTCTCGTCTCTGGATTGGAAGAATAACAGTTTCTCTGATTTCTTGAATGATGTCATCCAATCCCGCAATATCATTCCATGATATATTTATGGTGGTAGGATCTACTAATTGTGCAGCAATGGAAAGTTCATATTCACTTAGCTGTTATAAACAAGAACGTATGTTTAAAATAATTATACATGTATAGCATAACAAAATATATATACTTGATACGCTTTTATTAAATACTTACAAAGGATATTTCAATTTATATTTTATGATAAACAACAATGTGTAGCTGATGATCAACTACTTTATTTTGACTTAAAACTATGGCTAAACTAACAGGATTTCCAAAATCCTTATTTCACATTTGTTATAATACCAGAAAAACAGAAAAAGAATTTGGAAGAAAAAGAGACAAGACACAGCTTAGCAGTAAACTCTGACCTAATTTCAGTTTTAACATTTATTTCTTGTCGGTAAGACAAACATTAGTGATTAGGTACTGTGACTGGCACTTGACCAGATAACAACAAATTTGTTGTTAAATTTATAAACCTACATGGACCTTCACTACATTTTACATGATCATTACAAATAAATCTTGCTGAGTAGCACTTAAAAATATATTAATTACAGTACCACTTGCAGTAACACTTAAAAACTACAATAGTACTTAAAAATACATGAACTACAGTAAGCCATGAAAAGTATCAATGGATAGATACTACAGAAACAAATAAGACAATTTTAATCAAACTTAAGAAATAGTTGAGAAGAAACTCAAATAAAAATTCCTGCATAGCTACTGATTGAACGATATATATTTAGGCATTTTTACAATAGTATTAGCATTAGTTTAAGCTTTCTTTGATAAAGTTACTAATCACAGAAAATATTACTTATACACCATTTATAATTTCATACACTTAATACCTGATTTTTTATAGTTTCATTTATTGCATATGAGATTAATAATGTAAAGTTTAGTATTTATCTCAAATTACTGTTGAATGTTTAAATAAAAATAATATACACATATAGTGCAATGTTACTTTTTTAAATTTAACTCTGTTGTGTTGATTCAGTAATACCCATGTATAAATTTATGCAGATTCCTTTATTCAGTTTTAAATTTACTTTCAGCACATAATACATTAAATTATATTTAATGCAACCTTGAGAAATGCAAAAAAATAATTTCCTTCCTTTTAAATCAGAATTTTAAAATTATGTTAATAACTGTTCAATCAAAAGAACTCAAAAGGAAATCCTGAATTTTTCAGGCACATAACTGGATATACTAATCCTCAAGCCTATATATAATATTATTGCTTTCTCCACCTCCCCCTTTTTATTTGTATATAAGACAAAAAATTGTAATTAAAAACATTTTTTTAAGCTTCTAAGGCATTTTTGAAGATGAAAGAGATTCAAATTGAGCAGTATTTTTCCCTAATGTAATAATCTTTCAGTATCAATTTCATAAATACCTTTAAATTCCTTTGGTCTTTATAATTTTTTCAATTCTCTCACTACTGAGAAAATTTCATTTTAACAGTCAATTAAAGATTAACTAAAATGCTTAAATTTGAATACTATCAAATATACAAGTAGAAAACTTTTCAGAGATTATAACATTATTAAAATTTTATACTTATATGATGTAGTTTTATGATATGGAACTTTAAACATACAACTTTCAGAAACTTCACATATGCAAATTATGAATTTTTTAAATTTCAACATCCAAATAATGTATCTAAAATATTTCTTAAAGCTTTATTTATGCACGATTTCAGGCATGAAACTTTAAGCATTTTACTATGTGCAGATCACAAATTTTTAAATGTCAAGAGCTATTAAAATATTTCATACAGCTCTATTTGCGCATCACTTCAACCTATGTACCCAGTTTCATAAAAATTGATTACAATGTAGCTACACCCTCTTTCTCATTTTTGATCATTTTTATGGAATAAGGAATGACCCTTAAACATAATAAAGCAAATGTCCATGAAATAGCATACAAGGCTTGTCCAGAAAGTTATACTGGTCTTCTTTTCAAGCCACTCCACCAAGTGATAGTGTATGTGGAACAGTTGGGTTAAGAGGGGGGTCTTTTAGCATTACCAGGCTTCCAAGATCATTCTAGTCTGAGCTCTGAAGGTGTCAAGACAACTATTTCTATAAACCTCATGTTAGTGCTGAACGTGCAGTGGAGAAAGCTATCGAATAAGTGATCAAATTCTATGCTAAATAAAAGAAGCCTCACCAACACCAAATGATTCAGGAAGCTTGCGGGGACTCTGCTCTCTCCTATCCTCAAGTTCACAGATGGCTGAAGCTGTTTAAAAATGGGAAGAAGAAATGGAAAATTACCCTCACTCTGGATAACCTAACGAGCAAAAGTGGTAAAAATGTCTGCCATACTCATGATCATTTAAATACCAATCATCAAATGAGTGTTTGGATGATAGCAGACACTCTTAATATTACAGAAACCACTGTGCAAGACACTGTTTACAATACTTTGCCTATGCAGAAAGTGTGTCGAAGTTGGTCTTCAGAGTATTGCTTGGTTATCACAAAACAACCACGTGGCAACTGCATAGTGGCAATTGCTAAGGAACTTTACTTGGGCAAAACAATAATAATTTCATTGACGATGTCATCACCAGCAATGAATGATGGGTATTCAATCCAAAGACGAAGTGCCGAATGGAACAACCTGGGGTCCCATCATCCCAAAAAGGCAAATGGTCATCCACATTCAAAAGGAGATCACTACTACTTGGCTATTGCACTACCATACTCTCAACCACTTTGCTCTGCACATCTGAAAGTTCTTGGGGAAGCACAGCATGGTAACATTTCCCCAACTTCCCTACAATCCTAACCTCCAGCAGACATCTTATCTCTCTCTCTCTCTTTTTTTTTTTTTTTTTTTTTTTTGTCACAAGGGACCAAGACCATCCTAAAAATGGCCGATTTTGAAACTACTGAAGAGATTCAAACAATTATGACAAAGGTTCTACACAAGGTCCCTGACAAAAGTCTTCTAAAAAGTGGATCCCTGACAAAGTGGATGCATACCATGCATAGACAAGTCACTTCCAAGTGTCTGTATATCCAAGGGGCATAGTTTGAAGAATTTTAAATATTTTCAATGGTATCTTGAATATATATTTTTTAACAATTTCATTTTATTACTTTTTGGACAGACCTTGTACTAACTTTTTGATGGACTTCAACGAATGCCAGCTTGCATTTATTTATGATGGACAAATACCATGCATATTTGGGAAGAAAGAACTGCTTAATCCTACAACTGCCAAAGAGTTAAATTTATGTTGTTTAAAAGAGAACAATGACACAATTTTAAATAATTTTAAAAGGTGAATATATTAAAATCTAATGCACAAAAAATTTTAAAATATTTATTTTCAATCTGAACACTAGAATCATAAATTTGTTAATGATTTAAAATTTGCTTCAGATAATGACTTAAAATTTGCTTCAACAAAATAACTTGTGATTTGTGCCTCTCCAATTTGCACTCAGAATACAGTATAACTAAAAAAAAAGGCAGGTGTAAAAAAGTGAAAGAAAATATTTCAAGGTTACATATAACTATTTTTATATTAAATCATTCAGTCTCGCATTTTAGAAATGGAACTAAAATAATACCTACACCTATTTCAGTTGTCACATATGTTTTATTATACAGAATTATGTATTTCTTTATGTAAAATGCAGAGAAGTAGCCTTCATATATTTTATTCAAGCAAAAATGACAGAATAACTACATGGGGAACTATTTCTCCCCCTCCCCCACCAAAAAAAAAAAAAAAAGAAAGAAAGATTTCGAAGACTTGAATAAATTTTCCATTTTGATACACATTTCAACAATTATTGAATTTTATGTATTACAAGTTTTCTATAGCTTTCATTTGTCAATTATCCACATACTTTCATTTGGTAGAATTATTACCCAGGTATTTTGTTATGTCTAGTATGTAATAAAAATACCTATAGTAGTACCTACGTAAATGAATCGATTTATGCAGATTTGACTGTTCAGTTTTAAATTTACTTTCAGCACTGGATAAATTAAATTGCATTTAAAGCAACCCTCAGTACTGTCAAAAAATAATTATTTGCTACAGCAAAATGTTAAAATTCTAACTTCTCAGTTTAAATATCCTTTTCCAATAATTCTAAAAAAAGTAATTCAAGCAATTTCATTGTAAAAAAAAAAAAAAAAAAAAAATCATTAAAATAATACACATATTATTTCCAAGACCCTGTGACTCATCATTTCACCAACAAACATCAACCATATTTTACCTATAAAAATGGCAGGAACGTTTTGATTATATTTTATTTGCTTTAAGATATTACTCAGCAAATTCCTATATTTTCACTTGGCAACATCTACAAATGAATCATCAGAATTCTGTACGTCAATTTTGTAATTACCAGTCATATTTTCCAAATATGGAATGAGACATGGCTTTTCAGACTTTATTTCCAAAGGAATAAAAATATAACAACATAATCTTAAAATTTTTTAATATAAGGATAATAAGCTTAATCAAATGGATGAAAAAATGCAGTGAATCAATAATTAAAAACACCATGCATTAATAAACATTTTCAAATTTGTGGCAAAACAAAAATAAAATTAAAAAAATAACTAAGGATATTTTTATAAGACTTTTCTGTAAAAAGGTAAATTAAGTAAAACCTATATTAATAGTATATAGTTTAAGTAAACCTTATAGTTAACTTAAACTGGGAACAGCACTTCTTTATTACACATCATTGCAATGCTGGAATTTTTGGTCACCCAGCACAATATCTGCCTCTCCTAAAATTTGCTGCCCACTCTCCCTAAAGTCTAAAAATTATGTTTCCCAGTGTGGTTGAACCGACTGCATCAGCTCCAGCTCTGGCCCTGAATTAAGATAATTTCTGGAAAATTGGCAAACAATAGGTTATTTTTCATTAACTAGACACTACTTAGCACTAGAGATGAATTTCAGCACAAAATCTAATTAAATGGCAGCAACCCAAATGATAAATAAAACTATTTAAACTACACGAAAAGAATATTTTATTTATAATAAGGTAAACTACAATTATAAATTCATTCC